GACAACTCTTCTCTCTCTCTCTCTCTCTCTCTCTCTCTCTCTCTCTCTCACACACACACACACACACATGCACACACACTCACACTGTTCATCAAACAGATACATACTCTGAAGGTTATAGATACTCTACATGTTTTGCCTCTCACTGATTTTCTGTGGCCGTCAACCTATCACTCAGTGAAGTGTTGCTTTATCTGACCCACTTACTATGTCATCATGACAAGGCTGATGTTCCATTGTTCAAATAAATGTTTCAGGTGTGGCAACATTAATTGGGCAAAGCGCACAAAGTGCAATATATGTAACACCAACAAGCCAGGTCACAATGAGGGTGGTGTGAGGTAATATGAATCATGCATAGAATGGCCATATTGTAAGAACATTTGAAACTTATTATTATGGATATTAAATGATTTTTACAATTTTTATGTCTATATTTTACCCAACTGTTTAGCATGTTGGATAAGTTTATAAACTGAATTATTCCTTGTTTGATTTATGTTATAATTCTTCATACCATGTGCTTGCTAAGCATAACAGAACCGGAGTTGATAATGATAAGCATGCAAGCATTGTTTTTCAGTTTGGCTTTAGTTATGCTCCACTGATAGTAATAGTGACACATGGAGACAGTCATATTTTCTTCTGATGCCTGGGCATTTATGCCATGCTTATTTCTCGACCTGAATGTAGATGTTGTTGTAGCTTAATTGAGAACCACTTATGTAATTTTGTTGAAGCATTTTCTTGGTTCCATTGCTTTATTTGATAGAGGAGGCCGTGCTGGAGGTTACAAAGAACTTGACGAAGAAGAAATAGAAGAAACAAGGCGACGGAGAAGAGAAGCTGAAGAGGTTGATGAACCTGTAACTTTTGTTGGTGAATTTTCTTTTCCTTTTTACATGTGTACAAATATTTCGTTTGTGTCCCGCAGGATGATGGAGAGATATATGATGAATTTGGAAACCTTAAAAAGAAATTTCGTGCAAAAACACAACAAGCTGAAGCTGGGCAAATGGTTCCTGGCTCTGGCCGTGCTGGATGGGAGGTTGAGGAGATAGGTAACTTACACCTTATTGACTATGTATCATTTATAATGTTATTTATTACTTTTTAAATATGTAAATAAATGTTAATGCATGCTATATGCGATACTGTTTAATTAAAATGCTTATACTGCATCTTATTTCTTGAAGATTTGGATGTATCGGCTTATTTTTATGATCTATCTATATCCATGCTTTGAAGATGTCTTTTTCCTTTTTTTGATCACTTTTATAAGGTGATATTTCTACTTTATGTGCTTGTTGTACATGTTTAAAGAATATTCGATTCTACAAAGTAGATGCTATAAAATCTTTCAGTAACTTGTAATATGCTTCTTATGACTTGCGATACATTGAAGTACCAAGTTCTCAGAATGTAAATGTAAAGAGATTATATTTACTTTTATGTTGCTAAACGACGATGCTACATTCAGTCCTACATTTGCTAGAGTTGAAGAGACAAGACCTTTTGTAGAATTAGGACTTTTGCTCATACATGTGTTTCAATACTATATTAACATATTTTAGCATTTGATGCTGATGGGGTTCTAGGAAAATAACAAATAGAAAACTGCAAAATCTGATGTGCTGGTTTGCATAATAATTTTAAAATTTTATAATGACATTTGCAGGTGTCTCCGAGAGACACGGTGGAGAGAAAAGCAAAGACCGTTACAGAGATTTCAATGAACGGGAAAGCAGCAAGAACCGGGAAAGAGATGGTTCTGAGAGGGAGAGGGAGAGACGCAGGAGCCGAAGCAGAGAAAGGGAGAGGGAGCGTGAGAAGGAACGAGGGAGAGTCTCGGATCGAGATTATGGATATGAAAGAGGTCGGGAACGTGGTAGGGACCGCCACCGAGACTGGTAGTGCTTTTGCCAAGGCTAGGTTTCTACTGCTGCGCATGCCTTTAGTATATTGAAACTGTTTTGTGTCATCTGTAGCTGGAAGCTTTGTTAAAAATTTCTTGCTTGAACATCCACTTTCTTCTTTCTGTTTCCCCCGCCCCCCCCTTTTTTCATTTTACCAACTGATGACATCCTTTCATATCAACTTTTGAAGCAAATGTTTTGATTATTCTAGTGATTTGAGTGATGCTAGACTATTGCAAAATGCAGGCGCTGATAAAAAGCCAGCTTGTGAAAAGCTTTCTAGTTCTCGAATGTATCTACTGAAGGGTAGTTTAACATTCAGGAGATTGATGTTCCATATGTATAAACCTGCATTGTTCTTACCTTTAACATATGCTGTTGTCTTCAGGGTGACTACATTTTGATCAATGTCACTGATGCATATGGTAGTTCTCACTGTAGCTAGAGACTCGATGCAATTTAACATTAGTTCCTTTGCATGTCAGCTCAACTTGCAGAGGGCACTTGGTAAACCCCTAATCAGCAAAGCAGCGGCAAATCTCCCCAGAGGAGGATCTGAATCAAGAGAATTGAACTTGGCGATTAGTATGAAATCATTTTTGGTAACTCCTGAACTTACCATGGGATGACAATGCTTTTCATTTTTTCCTTACAGTTTGATTAAGAAATAAATTATTTTGTTGGCTAGAAAGAAAGTCCATTCGCCTACTATGCTGATAAACATTGTCATTTAGAGGATGTGTCATTGATGAGGGGATGTCCGAGACAATTGGATAGAGTCTTAGGATAAAGACAAGCAGTGCATGTTGTTTTTGAGTTAGATATCAAGAGAATATATGTCCCTTCAATAGGGTTATTTTGGTGTAGTTAAGACGTTTGGAGGGCAAAAAGGCAGACATGAGTTAGGCAATGGAATCCAATCATAGGATGTTGGCTTGCCCAAGACAAGTCATAGTTTCTTTGCTGCTTGTTCTCTTTTCTGTGATGGCACATACGAACTTTAGATTGTTATCCAAGTGTACCAAATTGAACTTTCTTCCCCCCAGTATGCCTGAAAGATACTGGTGTTGTCAGTTCACTTAAAAGAGACCTTCCTTGGAAACTGGCATTTTATCTTGTCCTGCGTTTGTTTCATTTTGTGGGTTAATCTTTTGTTTATGTTAAGCTTGCCATAAACATGGACTGCACTATGTACATGGGACATGTATTCTTCTGGATACCAAACTAGATAGATCTTGATGAGTCCAAAACAAAGTGGTCAAAAGGTAAAAGAAGGATCAAGGCCAAGAGACTGGTCAGCTAAGAAAAGGTCGTTCCTTGGACTCAGGCAATGGGGTCCTGATAACAGTAACATTGATTACATCAATGCTGGCAATGTGGGATGTGTTTTAGGTCGAGACAGTTGATGACAAGGGTGAGGAGTTTGGAAGAACAAATGTTTTCATCTTATTAGGGGATGCAGAAACATCTTGTTTCTTTAGGATCACAGAAACCCAACATATGTCAGAGTAGTGTGGCAGCACAACTTAATGATCTGGAGGAACTTATCTGTTGAGAACCAAGAGGGAGACAAAGGCAACATAATAATAGGAGCCTGTTGGATCTTGTTTGTTGCTTCAGCATCTAATATGTTTGAATCCCTGTCCCCTAATTAAGACAAGCTCGGGAGTTAGGACATTGCTTTCCACAGGACATGTTGTTTTATAGGTGACAGTCCAGTATTAATGATGTGGGTGTGGTGAGAGACCTGAAAGATAAAAGACTGAAGACCGACGTAGATGAAGAATGCATGACAAAAGATTAGTTTAGTAAGAGGAGCCATGCTACGTAGAAAAGGAAGTAATCTTATGCTTGGGTAGAAGACAAACGGAGCCGAAGGCAAAGACAAATCCTGCATATGTTATCATTTGCATGAAGCACTTAGCAGTGCAATAGGCCAAAGCTATTTTATGTTCATCGATTATAGAACTATAAGATGCACTAAGGATGGGTCAGAGGGCTCTGTCGAAAAGAGAACAAAGGTGATGTGTTGGCTTGGGTAATAAATAAGAAGAAGATCCATGAGTGGACACCAACATCCCAAGGCAAGGCAGTCTTCCCAGTGGAGACAATGATACAAGTAAAGAAGGTAGTAGAATCCTCTTTAGTGTTGAATGCAAAGTTGGCTTTATCCAAGTGATTTCTGCTAGTGATTGAGTAATTATCAGACAGATTAATGGAGGCTGTCATGATTGTGCTGGTGATTATTATTGTTGCCCAGTTTTTTTTTTTGTTCCTGCTCGTTATTGCTCCAATGCTGATGAATTTTGTGGCATCTAATGAGGCAAGTTTTTAGACAAACTAATGTTATTTTATGTGATGTTAGAGTGGGTAATGATGCTTTTTCATGTGATCATTAAACAATGAGCAAGTGGACGACTAGTGTTGTTTAAGATAAAAAGGGATATATAGTGCTGACAATGGCAATCGAGAACTTAAAAGCCGTCTCAGTACTACGTTAAGGATAAATAAGTTCCTTCTTTTGGGGGTGTGGATAATGTGTGGGATATCTGTTAGTTTAATTTGAATTAATTTCTTACGAATTATTTGAACTCGAATTATGTTCAGTAATTATTTCTTACAACAAAATCTGAGTACCAAAAATTGCACATTTATCAGAGAGAGAGAGAGAGAGAGAGAGAGAGAGAGAGAGAGAGAAAAGAAGCATTTTTTTTTTGCCTTCTTGAGATATAGGAACGCTAAATTCGAACAAAGTAGTGATCGCTTATCGCACGGATTTTAAAGCATTTCAGTGGTCTGGTAGTGCTGCGGAGCAGATTAAGAAGGGCGGGGAGGCGATGGCCATGCGCTCCTCGCGATGGAACCTGGTTTGCTTCGCAATGAAGGCCTCCACCGCACGCCGGAACTCCTCCGCGTCTTCCGCCTGCACCTCCTCTTCGGATGCCTCCGTTGTTGTCGGTGGAAACATGTCCCTTTTCCGGCCTGCCACCACCGTCTCTGCCCGACGAAGCTCGGGCGGTGGCCCGCGCCGCCGCTCCATCCTCTGTGAACGGCTCTTCCGGAATGCTCGCGTCTCGACGCACACGGCCTTGTCCTCGTACACCACCACCTCCTCCTGTGGCGGCGGAAGAGAGAAGGAGAACCGGAGGCCGCGGCTCTCGAGGAACTCGTCGAAGAGGTCGCCGACGGCCGCGGAGGAGGATGAGGAGGAGGAGGAGGCAGAAGAAGTGGTGGTGGCTGAGGAGGAGGAGGGAGAGGGGGATAGGTGGCCGGACTTGGCGAAGAGGAGGAGGACGATGGCGTTGCCGAGGAGGAAGACGAAGCGTGGGCTGAGGAGGACCGCGGCGAGTCGGCGGAGGAAGTCGACGGAGAGGCGGGCGGCTGCCGGAAGGCGGGCGGATAACCAGGAGAAGAGGAGGAGGCCAGCGACGGCCTCGAGGTAGCGGAGCAGCGTCCCGATCTTTTGGAGGCGACGGTACCGCCGCATCGCGGTCTCCTTCTCCGCTTGGATCGCGTCCATTCCCGGATCGGACGGTCCAGAATCAATCACGACGAGCAGAACCTCCTCAGAAGCGGAGTAAGCCCTGTATGAGTGAGCTCTTCGGGAAAGCGAAGCTCGATGGCCCGTCTTATAGGGATGAGTGGCCTTTTGCCATATCACCACTATATATATATATATATATATATATATATATATATATATATATATATATATATATATATATGATTGAAGAAAATATTTAATTATCGAAAACATAATTAATTTAGACAAGATTTTAATTTATGAAAACAACCGATTAGGGGTGCAATTAAAAATAAATTAAGTTCTAATAAAGAGTCAAAGATGAATCTACTCCAACATTATTGCATGCGACCCATTTAAAATGGACAAACTACTCGTTGCTCAAACAGCTCACACACCACATCAAGCTTCATATACTTTAGACAGAATGATAACTACGTATTAAAAATATATATTTTATTTTTTTTTCTTATTTTCATCAACAATATTTTACACATCTCTGATCAAAATGATACGATGCTTTTTTAACATCGACATAAATGAGATCCTATCAAAATTAAACATCAATAAGTTTAATTTAATATTGGGTGAGTTTATTATGTTCGATTGACCCAAAGCTGGATTCCAGTGCCTCTCATCGGTGAAACGAGTTGGAGTAGCTTGTACATTTCATAGACTTGAGCCACAATTTATGATTCCGGAATAGCTTTATGTGAGAAGCAATCATTTTACGTATCAGGCCAAGTAGAGAATTATCTTTTGCTCCTACGTTGAAGCTGAATCCAAAAGTTCGATCAAGATAGAATCCATGAATCAGTGAGTTTATTTCTTGTTTCTTATGTAGATTATGACAGGAAGAATGGATAGGGCTTTTAATTCAGGAAAAAAGCTTGATCATCATCGGAGTCACAGACAGCTGATGATCATGACAGTGGTTCCGAGGAAGGAATCTGCTGGGCTCTAAAACGCATTAAAGACCCTCACCAAATCCAAATCTCAAACCACGGAGGCAGCAGCTATATTATGAGGAACTGTTGCTGTAGATTTAGTGTAGGTATGTCGGGTGGAAATCTAAAACCAACCCTAAGAGAGAGGAGCCCATCCCATTCCGCATTTCTTATAGTTCCCGGTCAAAGACTAGAGCTTGATTGATGCCAGAAATCTGCACCACCTCTACGTATACGTTTGCATGGAAGAGGAGACCATTGTGGTGTTGGAAATGGTGGTGTTCACTCTCTCGGAGCTGTGCGCACGAGTGCAGTATTGGAAATGTATTCTCAGATGCGACTTGTCAAAGCAACCAGATCTCTCTCTCTCTCTCTCTCTACCTAAACCCCTGCGGTGGGTAACGTATAAACAAGCGCCTCCCGGCCGAAACAGTGCGAAGAAATGAGTAAAGAATGCAACATCATGACTCTCTGCGTCAGAGTTGAGGGGACCGGAGCTCGAGGCTGCCAACTCGAACGCTGCAGTATTGACGCAGGTGGCAGCGGATGTCCGGAAGCCAACCACCACCACCACCACCACCACCACCTTCCACTCCTCACCCGCAAGGAGGGCCGCCACCGCCGCGGCCAGGCGACAACTTTTGGCGCCTCAGGACGGGCGATGTGGAGGGAAGAGCGAGATTAGGTGGAGTGGAAGGTGGCATTCTTTGTGCCAGTGGGTACTGCAGCTTGTGGTGTGGTTATTGTGTTGACGACTTGTCTAAAATATCATATATATTTTCTTTGTTGATATTTAATGCTATTATTTTTTGATCGATTTTCTTACAAAAATATTTTCTTCCCCGTTTTTGTTTTTTCAAATCCATCATGTCCTATTTTCAACCTCTCAAAAATATTCTGCAATCGTCAACGTAGGTTGCAGAGGCAGAAGAAGAATCCACTTCATGGCAGGCTTTGGATTAACATGGCGTTGATGCGTAATATATGACGTTTGTCAACCGCCATGTACGTGACAGTAAAAAGCTTTACGTTGACCGAGGGGGTACGGCCTGGGCTCGCCATCACGGGTTTTATTACCCTAAATGGAAACTACTAACCAACGGCTGAGATCGTCTTGGAAGGACACAAAAAGATTTGATCTATTTACCCCAAAGCCCTTCATCTTTTCAAAAATTACCAACGATGACTGACGGCGGCTATGGTTCCATAAAACTGGGCCGGTCTGCTACTTCAGTAGGCCCAATACGGCCCAATTAGTAGTGATGAATGGGCTTGGCTCGGTGCCTTTGATCAAAGCGGGAAAGAGAGAGAAGATGTGTTGGAGGAGGTATAAGAGGATGGGCAGCCATGCTTGCTTTCCCCATCGATGACCTCCATGTGATCGTATAAACAAATCGAGAGCTTATAGAGAAGAAGGGAGTAAGATATTCGAGCAGTTTGCAATGATACCGAAACAAGCAAGAACAGTCTCATGAACAGCGTATAGAGCTGGTGTTTGGTCCGAAGGGCAGGGAAGAAAACATGAATCCTTTCTCCCGTGATCAGTCCATTCGCCTACGATGCTCCCTCCCGCAACAATCCAAACGACTGCCTTCATTTCATATACATGCAAGGAAAACGAGGATCCTTGGTGTTGCCGCTCGAAACAGTGCTGCCGTGCGATGGAACCTCGGTGCACATACGTGCTTGGCCGCACTCGTCTCCGGGGAGCAGTCCCATGTGTGTGATCTCTGCGTCTTGTATCGTCGCCTCTTGTCCTCTTGCGTGATTTGATGGGCTGCCTCACCGCGGCCGCAGCTTTCCGGCGCAAAACTTCGGGTCACAGTGCCCCCATTCTTGTCCTCGGCATCTACGCCAGTGATGGCTTATTGAGAGGGAGCTCTCCAGACTGGTGTATCGACTTGGGTAGTGACCCGAGCTCGGTTCGGTAGGGACAAGCAGATCTGCAGTTGTTCTCATGATCATGATGAGGATATGTGCGATGGAGAAGGAATGTTTAACTGTCAAGTATTAATTGCAGCACCAATAAACTCGATGACTAATTCGAACTTTTGGAGTTATCGAACGTGGCTGACACATGGACTATGAGTGCCACAGGATACGATCATCTGGTGATTGATTAGCCAACACTTTTATTGCCGACCACGTGTGCCGCTCAGAACGACCTGCACTAGGATCTGCCGGATCCGGCGTGAGACGTCGTCGACGTGGGGACGGACGTACGGGTCCATCCTCTCAGATCGCCATCGCGGCCGTGCGTCCGCCAGTCTGGCGTCTTCCCCCTCCTCGTCTCTAGCGCACCTAATAGCGATATCCGCCGTCGATCTACGGATCATCCGTCGACCACGAATCCACGATCAGAATATTCCTAAGATTTGATTTCGAAATCTATAAATGCTAAAATGATGATATTTGTAGTAAATAATATCTACGGCTGGAAGGCAACACTGTACTTGATTGGGGCATTACCAACGTGCACAGTGACCGACGTATCGAGGACACCTTATCGAGGCATACGGCGACTCCACGAGTGCGTGCAAGCTTTTACAGCACGATCGAGTTCATACCGGTGCGTGTAATAAATCGGCACGGGAAGCCTGAGATCGTTAAATTGCTGCCGCGTGCGAAGAGATGGTTGGATAGAGGACAAGAATTAGAGCATGCAGAGGTCTCATATTACATTAGAAATCGTAGTGGTAAGAAGGATTCCAAGTGCACGGAGATTATGAGAGGTGGTTGAGGGCGTGCCGTGATGCATGGGATGATGGGAGAATTGTTTCGGGGATCTGTGTGACATGGGAAGTCTAGAACAAGTCGCCGGATTCCAAAACAAACAAAAGAGCCACAGGAGCCGATTTTAACGTGACCGATCACATGCCAAACGCCATCGCCGCTAACCGCAGTTACACCTTTTGCTCCTCTCCCTCCCCTCTCTAAGTAGTAGTAGACCCGCTCCACAGCGGCTCATTGCGTACCCACACACTCGCTCTAGATTTCTCTTCGGCTCTCTCCCTCTCCTCTGCTCTTGTGACAACCCCCTTGTATCTGTTCTTAAGGTGTGGGGAGTTGGCGTTGCAGTTGTTGTTGTTCTGCAGTTTGTTTGTTGTTGCGGTAGGGAAGCTTCGGAGGCAGCTGCGATGGAGGTCTGCAGTGTGGGAATGAAGGCGAACGTGTGTTTCGGCCAAGTGAAGAGGAGAAGCGTTGGTAGTGGGGAGAGTGGGATTTGGGGAGAAGGGATTGGTGGTGGTGGTGGTGGTCTAAAAATTAAGGTGTGGGAAACCAAGGTGGTAAAGGGTGTGAAGAGGAGGAACTCGTTGGGAGCTGCAGTCGCTGTTCTCACTTCAGATGTCAGCGAGGAGACGATGGTGAGCGATTTCTTGTTTCTGGTATCCTCATTTCCTGTCACTTCCGCTTCTAATCGATTCTGTCATCGCTCCAGGTTTTGCATGCACCGATGTTTGGTTACCGGACGGCAGAGCCCAAGAGCGTTGCATCCATAATACTGGGTGGAGGGGCAGGCACTCAGCTCTTCCCTCTCACTAGTACAAGAGCCACGCCTGCAGTAAGAATCAAGCTTCCATGTCTCTCTCATGACTGCTTTCTTATTGATTTGAATTGTTGTGCTGGAATTCAAGTTCCTTAAACATTGGGATTTCTCTTCGAGAGCTGCCCCATGTCTTTGCAGTTCTCGACTTTAGCTACGGTTCATCCGGATCATGCTTGTTTCAAGGTTTCTGAGCCTCTCTCTTTGATGCAAACATGAAATGAATGCATGATTTTTCACCTGTAGGTTCCCATCGGTGGATGCTACAGGCTTATTGACATTCCAATGAGCAACTGCATCAACAGCGGGATAAACAAGATCTTCATAATGACGCAGTTCAATTCGGCTTCACTGAATCGCCACATTTCTCGTACATATATCTTCGGGAATGGAATCAACTTTGGTGATGGATTCGTCGAGGTAACATTCTTGAACTGGTATCCACCACTCTGTTTGCCAATCTACACCGCAATTTTGTTTGATTCTTTTGTCGACCGGACTCATTAGAAGCTTATAGCAAGCAGGTTTTAGCAGCCACACAGACGCCTGGAGAGGCTGGGATGAACTGGTTTCAGGGTACAGCAGATGCCGTCAGGCAATTCACTTGGGTATTTGAGGTGAGCAATCTGATTCGGCAAACGATATATTCAATCAGTCGTAATAATTATTCATGTGGAGTTCTTTATGATGCACGAAACTTGGGAATTATGTTGAACTCTGGTCTCGCATTTTCGTTCAGGATAACAGGAACAAGAACATCGAGCACATAGTGATATTGTCCGGTGACCAGCTTTACCGCATGGACTATATGGACCTCGTGCAGGCAAGTCTGAGCTCACACCATGAATTCTTTCAAGCCTCCTTTAGGATTTCGATTGCTTAGATGATGATGCCTTGCAATATGCAGAAACATATCGATACTGGTGCTGACATAACAGTGTCATGTGTGCCCGTCGGTCACAGGTAGATCCCCTTTTTTTTCTGTCCTTTGTCTGCAGTATTTTGTTTACATATGCGCTTGAGCAGGAATTGTGCGGATTCTTTCGGTACTGATCGGTGTTTTGTTGTCTAAAAGCCGAGCATCTGACTACGGACTAGTGAAGATCGACAAGACGGGCCGCATTTTCCAATTTTCTGAGAAACCAAATGGTGCAGAATTGGAAGCAATGGTGAAATTATTTGTTCTTGAGTAATTTGATGGATATCTGCCATGAAATAACCCACTGTAAGGGAAAAAAACATTTGATGATCTGCAGAAGGATGGCGGAAGCTTTCTCAGATTGTCTCGTCAAGATGCCATGAAGTACCCGTACATTGCATCCATGGGAGTCTATGTATTCAAACGAGATGTTCTTTCCAAGCTTCTACGGTAAGAGACTCTCGATCTCGTTCTCCGGTTGCGTCTTCCGCATCTTTATTCTTTGTCTTCTCTCCTTAGGTGGAAGTACCCGAAAGCAAATGACTTCGGATCGGAGATCCTTCCTTCTGTTGTCAAGGAGCACAATGTTCAGGTAACAGAGAATGTTTGTAAGCACACTCTGCTCGTAGTTTAGATAGAGGGGCTGATGGATCTCAGCAACTTGGCAGGCATATATATTCAATGATTACTGGGAAGACATCGGAACAATTAGATCCTTCTTCGATGCCAATTTGGCTTTGACAGAACAGGTTGGTATTAGCTTTCGCAGAACGCATGCAAACTTCATGCTGAAGATATCATCTGAACTTTTTGTGCAGCCACCAAAGTTTCAGTTCTACGATCCGATGACTCCTTTCTTTACATCTCCTCGATTTCTACCTCCGACAAAGATCGAAAAGTGCAGGGTATGCCGTCATGAACACTCACTTTGGCCTCACTGTCATCGAATTCCTTGGGCATCATGAACTAAAAGTTCATACGCACAGATTGTGGACGCAATCATCTCACATGGATGCTTCTTGCGGGAGTGCAGCGTGGAGCGTTCCATTGTTGGAGTACGCTCACGTTTAGATTTCGATGCAGAGTTGAAGGTTTGCATCGCTCTCCTCGTTTGATAGAATCGTGGATTTGTGCTAATTTCCGAAGGGCACCGTAGGATACGATGATGATGGGTGCTGATATCTACGAGACCGAAGCTGAAATAGCATCTTTGCTGGCGGATGACAAGGTTCCGATTGGTGTCGGACAGAACACCAGGATCAGGTGAGACCTCGCGGTCAAACTCTTTTTGGCAAGAGCTTGGTCAACTCTAAGGTTCTTCTTTGATTGATGTCCAGGAACTGCATCATCGACATGAATGCGAGGATAGGGAAGAATGTGGTGATAGCGAACAAGGATGTAGGCACTCCACTGCATCTGACATGCTTGCAGATGGATTCTTTTCCCATGCTAACTTGCAGAAAAAATTCCTTTTGTTGCAGGGGATTCAGGAAGCAGATAGGCCATGCGAGGGCTTCTACATACGATCTGGGATCACAATAATCATGAAGAATTCTACCATCAAGGATGGAACAGTGATATAGAATGATAGATTTGAGGTGTAATATGAAGAATACATAGAGGAGAGGATGCTACGGCCAGAATGGTAACCCATGCTGTCAGGATGGAACTACTCGGCTGATACTACTGTCTCCATGATGTCTCTTGCGTTTTGCTAATAACAAGCTGCAATGATGCAGCTGCGTCCTTGTATGTAATCAGTACGTTCTTATATCATTTCATCAGCATCATGCTCCTCTGTTCTGTAAATAAAATGATCTCTAGATAACCTATGTTTGGTCTCATTAATTAGTATCAATGTGATTCCACTGTTGCATCTTGTTGAACAATCTTCTTCTTCTTCTTCTTCTTCCAATTTGTTGGTATGAAATGTGATTACAAGCTTGAGGAGGGACACAAAATCCATCTACATGCTGGCTGAAACCAGCAGTCATCTTCTAGCTCAGTGTCCTGCGTCCTTTCTCTTGTTTGCAGCCTTCTAGTGTTTGCCTTTCATGGCCTTTGCCCTCTTCAGCTTCGCAATGGTTCGAAGTTTGTGAGACTGGAGGGTGATCACTCTTGTCGTGGATGGTGATTCACCTAGAATGACTTCATAGCCATCTCTGTATGAATCCATCCCTTGAGCCAGCAGCTGCCAGAACAAGCTACCTGCGGTTGCACCACCAGTTCTAGCCGACAAATATACTTTGGAGTACACTGTTCTGAACATTGCATCCCTTTCGTCATTGCTGAAGCCGGGATCCTTGCAAGACTTTCCGAACTCAGTCACCAGCAATGGCTTCTGAAGAACGTCGCACGCGTCGTGGAGGTGGATATCTAGCCAGTTCTTCAAGAAAGAAAGCTGCGATCGATCGTTCGAATCGGGTATCCTGTTCATGTAATACAAGATCCATCAGTGAAGAGATGGAGGATATCGTATGAATTGGCACTGATGTGATGATCGTAGTCGTTGTTACCATTGGTCAGGGTAAGAATGAACGGTGGCAAAATCGATTCCTGGAATCTGGTTATTGGAGATGAAATCAGTTCCAACTTGAAAGCCGGGGTTGGATTGTTTCTGAGGTGATGATTCACCATAGAACCCCTCGAGACCAGCTTCCAGCAAGTGCTTGTTGTCTATGGATTTCAGGTAGGCAGCCATCTCTGTGATCCATTCCTAGGCAACAATCAAAATGAACGAATCAGCTATCAATGTAAAACACTACTACCAAATAGCATAATCCTTGATGAGGATTGGCCCCAAAAGCTTGTAGTTTCTGGAAACCTGTATGCTCTTCCCTGACAAATCTGAGGGGCATCTGGGCTCATTCATGAGTTCCCAAGCAAAGATTGTTGGATCATCCTTGTAGGCAACTCCAGTTATGGTGTTGACTCTTGTGACAACAGTCTACAGAATAAGAAGAAACACTTCACAAATGCTAGCTTTGATACAACAAGTGGTACAAAGGGTAGTTTCTTTTACTGTGTTCTTCCATGTTGTTCATATGGATTGGTCATTTCTCTTACTGTTTCCTGTTGGATTTGTCCAATAAGATCTCTTCTTTTCAGTTTGGCTCGAGATTAAAAGTTATGTTAGGAGATAAAAACTGTGATTGTTGGTAAATTGCAGTGATGACAAAGAATTAGAGGCAAGGAAGAACACAAAATGATATTGACAGGTAAAAGTAATTCATCATATGACCTTGATATGACTTTTGTAGTAACCTTTGACAACAGGGTTGGTGAAGAATTCATCATCAGATCCAATGTTCTCCCCCTGATCTCTTGCCCATTGGACATACTGCTTCTTCCCTCCAAAGCTATCGTAGTTGTTAACCAAGCTCAATATGAGCTTGATGCCATAATTTCTTGCCTCAGACACCACAAAATCCAACCCCTTGACCAGAAGAAAAGAGAGAGAAAGAGAATTCAGAAATCAAATAAGAACTGGCAAAAGCCCACAAAGACAAATGAAGATAAAAGGAAGGCAGTATGAGACCTGAAAGATCTGTTCACTGTAAGCTCCTGGGGAGTTCTGCAAGGCATTGCTCCCTCCATCGCTGAAAGCCCAAGTCCTGGCCACAGAGAGGCCATGCCTGGAGGCATCACTCAGAGCAGAGGAGACCTTGTCTCTTCGAGAAGGATCTGAGGCCAGGGTCATCATCCAGTAGGCATTGAAGCCATTTGCAAAGAATGGGTTCCCATTGAGAACAAAATGTAGCCCCCTTGTCTCAATGAACCCTCCTGCAGCCTCAACACCATGATGTGAACCCAACAGCAGAAGCAGAATGACAGATAAAAGCCTCAGCTTCCTCATATCTCTCTTCTTCCCGCTGCTTCTCCCTCCCTTGAGATGGCAATGCAGGTAGAGGAAGCCCTGATTGGAAGGTAGAAGTTGCAGCTGGTGCAGAGCACCCAAAGGATAACCTGAGCACACCCAACAAGGGTTAGGTTTGTCAGGCCTCCATGTGACGTACCTCGTAAAGTACTGTGATGGTCATTTGCACCTTGACGAATGTACTGAACTCAACACAAACCATGCAATTTGCGTTGGCTTGGCATGTTTGTATTTACAAGATTTACTGTGTCAGCTAAATGAAATCGCCGATGACATTCCTGTGTTTGTTACTTTTGTTTCTATCGTAAGCGACGTATGTTCTTTTATGATTCGTTGCTTCTCACTGGGGTTTGAGCACCTTTGCACGAAGCAGAACCTTTGCTTTCTTAGATCTGCTGATGAACTACTAAGGAATCAGGAGACCTGTGATCTACTGCACTTCTCCGGATTCCTGGAACACAAATTAAAAGAACGTTGGTTGAGCTGCAGAAGCGCAGGACGACCACGAGAAGGAAATGGGTGTAAAGGTCAATTGGACTCACAGATGAGTATTTGGACACGGAGGTTCTCTTATAATACCCAACTAAGTTGATCGGAAGCTGCACAGCAACCATCCCATTCATCGGATCACCGTGTACGTGCACGTGGGAAGCACGTGACTTCCAAGAAAGCACGGCCAATGAGCGATGGTTCCGCAGGGTTAGCTTCGAGATGCGTGTGAATGCTTGATATGCGTCAGCCGCAGGATTGATGTCTTCCTCCCTTCGTCTCTTCGCCGCAAGTGGGCGACGGCCCGAGCTTCAACGGTTCGATCGAACAGGCTTCCGTTTCCGGTCAGATCTCCACCAATAAGAACCATTAATCACCCATCAACCTGCCTCGTGGGACCCGGGTGGAGCCCGCGAGGCCATATTACTGCCATTGCACGTGATGTGTTCGACCCGTGACCGCGCACATGTATCTCTGGGCCTCCGAAGCAGACTGCGGCGGACATGTTCGACGGTAAAAGATCACACGAGTTGCCCGTCGAGGCTTTCACAAGGCTCGTATTTGGTCACCATAGCCGAGGTATCTCGGAAGACCTTCATGCTGTCTCCAATGTTCTTTCGCCTTCACTTCCACCTGCCCAACCTACAACAAAACGATGAGATAAGACAAGGATAACCAGAGGAAGAGACACAAGGCTCTCCCTCCTCCTCATCCTCGTCGCTGGGAAGGCCATTCCTTCGGCTGTGTTCAAGAGACTGAGCAAAACCTTGCAACCGAAGGCTGAATGAAGTGGGCCTCGAAGACTCAAGGTGCAAGAGGCGAAACGAGGAGGAAAGACGACAACGGAGCGACGCGGAGTGTCGAATCCAGCTCCAATTCCCCAGACATGATATTAACTTGATATCAAAATTCTTTTTATCAAAATGGGTTCTCATCGAAAACTTGATATCAAAATATAAATATCAAGTAGCATAAACAGTAGAACAATAAATCGATCACACAATAAAATCAAATCTTTTAATATAAAAAATCCAATGTGAGAAAAATCACGAAACCATAGTCATCTCAAACTTTAACTATCAATAATAATGATAACAGGTTTATAATAAATCTTCTCTAGAATAACTAGAGGATCACAATAACATCAAGAACATAGATCTTGGCTCAAGAATAATATATCATCATCACATAGGATGGATCTGAGAATTCTAGGTCTCACAAAGTGGATATAGCAGGAAAGTACCTTAGAGAGGGTAAACCATAGATCAATACCATTAGGATTATAGAGCTTACTATAAGAATTCTCCGTATAAAATTTGGGCTAAAATTGACAATGTTTGACCACCGTTTGTCAAACAAAAAACTCAATATCTTAATCTTTCTCTCTCCTTTTTCTCTCTTTCCTTTCTCTCTATACTTTTTCCAACTGTAATTCTTTCATCTCAGGCACATCACGAATCCAGTGATATCTCACATCAATATGCTTGATCTAAAATGATATATTGAATTCTTAGAGATGTGAATGATGACTGTTATAGTAAACAGTATATCCTTCTTATTTCAAGCTCAATTCATGTAGAAATTTTTTCATCCATAAAACTTCCTTGCATTCTTCAGTAATTGTTATGTATTTTGCTTTTGTGGTTGATAGAGCAACACCATTCTGTAACTTTGATTGCCAAGAGACTACTCCCCCTACAAATGTCATCAAGAATCCCGAAGTGGACTTCTTGGAATCAGTGTTACCTGTCATGTCTACATCTGTGTAGCCTTCTAACATAGGTTCATCATTGTTAAAACATAAACACAACCTGGAAGTACCTCTTAGATATCTTAATATCCATTTCACTACTGCCCAATATTCCTTTCCAGGATTAGAGAGAAATCGGCTAACAATTCCAACTGCATGAGCTATATCTGACCTTGTACAAACCATAGCATACATCAAACTGCCTACTATAGACGAGTAAGGCACTCTGGATATTTCTTCTTTTTTTTCTCACTTGTATGATATTGTTTCGAACTAAGCTTGAAATGACATGCAAGTGGAGAACAAACTGCTTTGGCTTTACACATGTTGAATATTTCAAGAACCTTTTCAATATAAGTCTCTTGAGATAGCTAAATCTTTCTTTTCTTTCTATCACGAAGAATCTTCATGTCAAGTATTTGTTTCACCGATCCCAAGTCTTTCATGGCAAAAGACTTACTTAGCTCTCTTTTAAACTTTTTAATTTTTTCAGTATTATAGCCAACAATCAGCATGTCATCAACATATAGCAGTAAAATAATAAAATCATCATATGAAAATTTTTTCATAAACACACAATGATCAGATGTGGTTCTATCATACCCTTGGCTCATCATAAAGAAATCAAACTTCTTGTACCACTATCTAGGTGCTGTTTGAATCCATATAAGCTTTTCCTAAACTTACACACCAGATTTTTTTTTCTCTTGAGTTTGAAACCTTCTAGTTGTTTCATGGAAATTTCTTCTTCTAAGTCACCATGAAGAAATACTATTTTCGCATCAAGTTGCTCAACTTCTAAATTCAAGCGAGCAACCAAACTAAGAACAACTCGGATAGAGGACATTTTCACTATAGGAGAAAATATTTCTTTAAAGTTAATACATTTCTTTTGACTGAATCCTTTCACAACTAGTCGTACCTTGTATCTTTGTTGTGAGTTATTATTTTCAGATTTTAATTGATTAACCCACTTATTCTTGAGAGTTTTCTTCTCTTTAGGCAACTTTACCAAGTCATAGGTATGGTTCTCAAGCAAGGATCTCATCTCTTCTTACATGGCTTTAACCCATTCATTCTTATGCTAATGTAAAATAGTTTTTTGGTAAGTTTCTTGCTTTCCCCCATCAGTAAGCATAACATACTTATGTGGAGGATATCTGGTAGATGGTTGTTGCTCTCTAGTGGATCTTCTCAATAGAATCTCAACTAGTGGTGGATGTGTTTGTTCAGTTGGTTCAGCATTATCAACTATAGGAGTATCATCACTTACATTCTCACTACAATCTTCTTGTTCATCTCCTCCATGATCATCATGAACTATAGTTGAAGGAACTGGACCCAAACTCTAAGGAACATAAATAGAGGTTTTTGGCTTCTCAACATTATCACCATCATCAAACAATTGGTCTTCAAGAAATATAACATCTCTGCTTCTAATAATCTTCTTATTCATTAGATTCTATAATCTGTACCTAAACTCTTTATGACCATATCCCAAGAAGATATATGCTTTTGCCTTATTATCAAGCTTGGACATCTCATATTTGGGAATATGAACAAATGCTTTATACCAAAAGACTCTCAAGTGATTATAAGATATATCTTTTCCTTTCCATACTTTCTCTGGAACATCCTCTCTTTGGAACATCACCTTTCAAAGTAATTGATAGAAAAAGATTTATCAGGTCAATTGTAGTTCTCATAGCCTCCCCCCAAAATGACTTAGGTAACTTGGCATGAGAAAGCATATACCTAATATTTTCTTCAATTGTTCTGTTTATCTTTTCTGCGACACCGTTTTACTGAGGAGTTTTAGGAACTATTTTCTCAAGCCTAATACCTTGGAACCTACAATAATTCTTAAAAGGACCCCTGTACTCACCACTATTATCTGATCGAACATACTTTAGCTTTCTGCTAGTTTCTCTTTCAACACTGTAATGAAACTCCTTAAAAACATCGAGTACTTAATCTTTAAATTTCAAAGTAAAAGCCCACACTTTTCTAGAATGATTATCAATAAAAATAACAAATAAAAAGCACATCCAAGAATTCTAGTTTGCATAGTACAAATATCAGTATGAACTAAATCAATAACATATGATCTTCTAGATGATGAATATGTATGAAATGCAACTCTATGTGTTTTTCCAACTAAGCAATGATCACAAGATTTAAGATATGTACCTTGCAACTCTGGTAAGAACTGCTTTCTAGCAAGAGTTTGAAGTCTCTTCTCGCTGATATGACCAAGCCTCTTATGCCAAAGATCTATACTTTCACATTTTTTAATTACATTAATCTTTCCTTTATGTAGCTTAGCTTCTATGACATAAAAAGAGTTAAGCTTCTTTCCTCTTGTTATAATTAGAGAACCTTTAGTAAGTTTCTATTTGCTTTCATCAAAATAATGCGCAAAGCCCTCATCATCAAGTCTGCCTGTAGATATCAAGTTAAGACGAATATTTGGAACATATCTGACATCTTTGAGTATTAATTTGCTTCCAATACTGGTCTTCAAGCAAATATCTCTACTACCCACAATCTTAAATGTACCACTGTTTCCCATTCTGACATTACCAAAATCACTAGTAGTGTAAGATCTGAAGAAATCACCATGAGAAGTAACATGAAATGAAGCACTAGAGTCAATTATCCAGTCACTGTCCTGAGCTGCAAGACTGATACAACCATTATCATAAACAATAGTGATATTACCTTTAGTAGCAACTGTATTAGTTTCTTTCTCATTTTTCTTCATTTCATTCTGTTATCGTTTCCAAAACCTACACTCTTTCTTCATGTGACCTGGTATATTATAGTAAAAACATTTGATATCTCTTCTAGACTTGGATCTTCCTCTAAAACCATGTGGATTTCTGCTATGACTTCTTCCACGTCTTTCTTGTTTTTCAGTAACAAATGCACCAGAAGAAGATTCACCATGTTTTTTCCTTCTGGCATCTTCATTTAGCAAATTGTCTTTAACCATATCTATAGTTAGAGTCTTCTCTGGCATAGAGTTACAAATTGTCACCACATACGTTTTCCAACTTTCTGGTAAAGAGCTAAGAAATAATAATCCTTGCATCTCATTATCTATATTCATTTTCATAGTAACCAGCTTATTTGCAAGACCCTGAAATAGGCTTATATGCTCAACAATATTATCATCATCTTTATACTTCAAATTCACAAGCCTTCTAAGGAGAGAAATTCTATTTCCCACTATCTTTTTCGTAAAGAGATTTTCTAACCTTTGCCAAACAACATCAGCTCTGGTTTTATCAGAAATATGCTCATGCAAGTTTATATTCATCCATCTTCTAATATAAACAATAGTTTTTCTATGTTAAATTTCTTATTCTTCATCGTCCAAGGTTTATCTTTAACTTTGATAGGCTTATACAAATCTTTGTAATAAAGCAGATCTTCAATCATACGCCTCTAAGTGGAATAATTTGATTAGTTCAATTTAATCATACCATCTGACTGCTATATTTCAATCACGCAAGAAAAACTAGCATCAAAACACCTGTTGCTCTAATACCACTTGTTAGGAAAAACCTGTTAAAACGGAATAATTTTTTTCCCTCTTTGTGTAACAAAATGGGTTCCTCATCAAAATACCAACTTATCGAAATGTAAATATCAACCAGAGCAGTATAAACAGTAGAGCAATAAATCAATCACACAGTGAGACTAAATCTTTTAACGTGAAAAACCCAATGTAGAAAAAACCAAGGGACCGTAGTCCACCTCAAACTTCCACTATCAATAATAATGATAACAGATTTATAATAAATCTTCTCTAGAATAATTAGAGGATCATAATAATATTAAGAACATAGATCTTGGTTTAAGAATAGCATATCATCATAGGATGGATCTGAGAATTCTAGGTCTCACAAAGTGGATACAGCAGGAAAGTACCTCAGAGAGGATAAATCGTAGATCAAAACAGTTAGGATTGTAGAGCTTACTGTAAGGATTCTTCGTATAAAATTTGGGTCAAAACTGATAAAACTGATAATGTTTAGCTACTGATCGTTAAGCAGAAAACTGTTTTGTCTTTCTCTCTCTCAGTGCGACTGCTCGCGTTCACTGTACATACTCGTTGATCTCTTATTTGCTATCCTATATCTCTTTTGTCTTTTAATTAGTGATTTAGGCTCAAAAAACCTAATTCAATTGTCCAAGCCCACGTATGGGCAAGACCCAACAGACCACGGAGGAGACGAGTAAATACAATAACGAAGATCAGGGAGGGAGCAAGGATAAGAGGTGGCGGTGTTACCGGGTCGAATCCATAAAGGTTCATCCGGATCCGATATATTACAACAATGAAGTCGCGGATTCGTTATGTTATCGGGTCGGATCGGGTCCATCAAATTCTAACCCAACACGTAGCTTTTCTTTTTTTGTGGAAAAGAAATCATAAAAATATCACGATATTTTTCCTTCTTTGTTATGATCACAACAATAAGCATTACAAATCAACGAGAGACAGCAACACCCGAATGCATCAAAGCTGCTACTTGAAGTAGATCGCAGGCGCGTCGGAGTTGGGATGCCACGTACCGGCCTCCCTCATGTACTCCAAGTATCGCAAGAACTCCGGCGTGGCTGTTGCCTTCTTCGGTGGCTTCTCCATGATTCTGATGACCGGGTGCGCCTTTATTTCCCTGGTGGTGTTCGATCTCTTCATTTCGCTCACCGTCGCCGCCGCCGCCGTCGTCGTCGCTTCGTCGCCCTCGGCCAGGTCGAACGAGGACTGCCGGGACAGCAGGCGGCGGTAGCCTCGCCGGCTCCTCCGACGACCCGAGGCGTCCGACATGGCTGCTGCAGGAGGGAGGTCGTGGTCTTGCTTGCTTGCTTGTTCTTCGGGGGTTGGGAGAGCTTTAAAGCATGGGATATGGCTGAGGAGGTGGGTGGGGAGTTTAAAGCATATCCAATCGATGAGTTGCAGGTGGGGCGTCTCAGTCAGGAACGCTTCCTTGAAACCCCCCTTTGGATGAGGTAGTCTGACTTGGTGTGCTCGACCTTTTGACCATGCCTCGCCATGGCGGCCATCTTCCTCTCCTGGACGACAAAGTCAACCGAAGTAGACACAGCTTTACTGTACAGGGCAAGTATAAAGACAAACTGATGTGGTCTCACATTTTTATTCCTTTTGCTTTTAGTAGAAGATATGCTTTGACTCCATGGATGATTTCTCACTGGGTTGTCTGTTTCTTCCTCCTCTGCCATTGTAGCTTAGCTGCCAGGAAATCATGGATGATTTCTTTGGCTGGGTCTTTGAAGCACCAACCCCCCAACTGTTGCCAATATCTTTTTCAACCTATTGCCATTTGACCAATCGACAAATTTGGCTCTACTTTTGATGATGCAGTGCAAAATAAGAGGCTTAGCGGTTGCTTCTTTAGCAGCTGAGCTGTGAAAATGACTTCTGCTGCGTAAGTCTGCATGCTGAATCGTTCTTTAGTTTACACCTTTATCCCTGATCAGAATAGGTCTACCATTTTAGAGAGATGTGGTACAAACTTCATGACCATGTCCTTACAAGAACGTCTTTTTCTCTGCAGTCATTGGGAGCTTGAAAGACTTAGTGCTAAGTTGAATATGTTCCAAGCTTCTTAATACTCTCATACATTAGTTTTGGATGTTTAACGAACATAGGAAAAATTTAATTAATAATGAGGCTAAATTGTAAGTTTTCGTATCGAGAAAATCAAGCTTGTTATCTCCTATTGTAACTATAAATAAGGGCTTGGGCTTTGAAGCTAGATACACCACAAGAAAAACTAATTATTTACTTTGAATTTAATTTATATTAAGTTCACACTGAGTTAAAATAATTTTAGCTTTTCTTGTTTAGTAGTTTCAGATGTTTTATGGCCTAGGAACATTTTTCTAATGCATTTGTAATTGTACCTTTTATAGTAGAGTTTTGCTCTTCCGTCCGTGGACGTAGGTCAATTGACCAAACCACGTAAATCTGATATCCTTGTTTCTTTTATTTTTTTGCTTTATTGTATTTATTGGGTTGCCAAATTATTCTTTGGTAAATTTTTTAGGGTCAGATCTAACAAACTGGTATCAGAGCCTGGTTTCGGGATCTTTTGGCAACGATGAGAAATTCGATAGAAATATCAACTTTGGTATGTGACAGCTCAAGATGGAAGCCATTCTAGTTCAAGACGGAGTTGATTTGGCACTATAAAAAACTGAGAACATTCCAGATGATACGTCAAAGGAAGATCTTGTAGGTATGGATAAAAAGGTCTTATCAAGCATTATTCTAAATCTCTCTGACGAGGTTTTACAAGAGGTAACTACGGAGACTACGACTAAGAACATATGGGACAAGCTTAAAGCCTTGTATATGAAGAGGATAGTAGAGAATCGTCTCTACCTGAAGCAGAGTTTGTATATGCTTCGGATGACTGAAGGTACATCTATACTCTCACATTTTGATAAATTTGATTCCTTAGTTATGGATTTGGAGATTATAGATGCAAAAATTGATGACGCGGATAAAAATAATATTTTTCTAACCTTTAGACAATGGAAGGCTTTGATTGAGAAGCAAACAGGTAAACAAATTAAACAGCTTCGAACAGATAATGGTATGAAATTTTGTGAATGTGACTTTGATGAATTCTGCAAAAATAAAGGAATTGTTCGGCATCGTACTGTTAGCATAACACCTCAGCAAAATAGTGTGACCGAATATATGATCAGAACACTCTTAGAGAGAGCAAGGTGTATGATCTCAAAATTTTTGCATCAATTTTCGCATATATATTCTCCAAATTTATAACTAAGGAATCAAATTTATCAAGATGTGAGAGTATAGATGTAACTTTAATCATCCGAAGTATATACAAACTCTACTTTAAGTAGAGACGATTCTCCATTGTCCTCTTTATATACAAGGTTTTAAGCTTGTCTCACATGCTCTTAGCCGTAGTCTCCGTAGCTACCTCCCGTAAAACCTCGTCAGAGAGATTTAGAATAATGCTTGAACGGGCCTTCTTATCTATACCCGTAAGATCTTCCTTTGATGCATAATCTGGAATGTTCTCAGCTTGTTGTAGTGTCAAATCAACTCCGTCTTGAACTAGAATGACCTCCATCTTGAGCTGCTACATGCCAAAATTAACATTTCTGTCGAATTTCTCGACAACAATCTTTGTTATTGTCATCGTTACCAAAAGATCTCGAAACCAAGCTCTGATACCAGTTTGTTAGAGCTGGCCCCAAGAAATTTACCAAAGGATAATTTGACAACCTAATAAAGACAATAAAGCAGAAAAATAAAAGAGACAAGGACACTGGATTTACATGGTTCGGTCAATTGACCTACGTCCACGGACAGAGGAGCAAAACTCTACTATAAAAGGGACAATTACAAATACCTTAGAAAAATGTTCCTAGGTCATAAAACACCTGAAACTACTAAACAGGAAAAGCCTAAATTATAAACCCAAACTATTTTAACTAAGTGTGGACTTAATATAAATTAAACCCAAAGCAAACAATTAGGTTTTTCTTATAGTGCATCTGACTTCAAAGCCCATGCCCTTATTTATAATTACAATAGGAGATAACAAGCTTGATTTTTTCGATGTGGGACTATATCACCATAATAGTAATAAGTATTTATCAAATCATTGGTATCTCTCGGGTCACATTTTGTTTAAATAAGAAAAAGTATACGTGAAAATTAGGATCGATTTTACGTAATGCCAAAAGAAAATTAGGATCGATTTTACGTAATACTAGAGGAATCATTACCGCATGGCATAGAGGGGGAGGTCATAAGTGTCTATAACGTAAAATCGATTTTCAACCTATTGTTGCCATTTGACCGATCGACATATTTGGCTCTGCTTTTGATGATGCAGTGCAAAATAAGAGGCTTAGCGGTTGCTTCTTTAGCAGCTGAGCTGTGAAAATTACTTCTGCTGCATAAGTCTGCATGCCGAATCGTTCTTTAGTTTACGCCTTTATCCCTGACCAGAATAGGTCTACCATTTTAGAGAGATGTGGTACAAACTTCATGACCATGTCCTTACAAGAACGTCTTTTTCTTGGGAGCGCTTGAAAGACTTAGTGCTAAGTTGAATCTGTTCCAAGCTTCTTAATACTCTCATACATTAGTTTTGGATGTTTAATGGACATAGGAAAGATTTAATTAATAATGAGGCTAAATTGCATGACTATATCACCATAATAATGTTAGTTTGACAAGTTTCCTATTGTAACTATAAATAAGGGTCTGGGATTTGAAGCCAGATACATCACAAGAAAAACTAATTATTTACTTTGGGTTTAATTTCTATTAAATTCACACTTAGTTAAAATAGTTTGGACTTTTCTTGTTTATTAGTTTCAGGTGTTTTATGACCTAGGAACATTTTCCTAAGGCATTTGTAATTGTTCCTTTTATAGTATAGTTTTGCTCCTCCGTTCGTGGACGTAGGTCAATTGACCGAACCACGTAAATCTAGTATCCTTGTTTCTTTTATTTTTCTGCTTTATTATATTTATTGGGTTGCCAAATTATTCTTTGATAAATTTTCTAGGGTCAGTTCTAACAAATTGGTAACAAAGCCTGATTTTGGGATCTTTTGGCAATGATAAGAAATTCGATAGAAATGTCAACTTTGGTATGTGACAACTCAAGATGGAGGTCATTCTAGTTTAAGACAGAGTTGTTTTGACACTACAGAAAACTAAGAACATTCCAGATGATACGTCAAAGGAAGAACTTGCAGGTATGGATAAAAAGACCCGATCCAGCATTATTCTAAATCTCTCTGACGAGATTTTACAAGAGGTAACTACGGAGACTACGACTAAGAACATGTGAGATAAGCTTAAAGCCTTGTAAATGAATAGGACAGTGGAGAATCGTCTCTACTTGAAGCAGAGTTTGTATATGCTTCGGATGACTGAAGGTACATCTATACTCTCACATTTTGATAAATTTGATTCCTTGGTTATGGATTTGGAGAATATAGATGCGAAAATTGATGACGCGGATAAAAATAATATTTTTCTAACCTTTAGACAATGGAAGGCTTTGATTAAGAAGCAAATAGGTAAACAGATTAAGCAGCTTCGAACAGATAATAGTATGAAATTTTGTGAAGGTGACTTTGATGAATTCTGCAAAAATGAAGGAATTGTTCGGCATCGCACTGTTAGGATGACGCCTCAGCAAAATAATGTGGCCGAACATATGAACAGAACACTTTTAGAGAGAGTAAGGTGTATGATCTCAAAATTTTTGTATCAATTTTCCATCTATATTCTTCAAATCTATAACTAAGAAATCAAATTTATCAAGATGTGAGAGTATATATGTATCTTCAATCATCCGAAGTATATACAAACTCTGCTTCAAGTAGAGACGATTCTCCATTGTCCTCTTTATATACAAGGCTTGATCGGACCTTCTTATCTATACCCGCAAGATCTTCTTTTGATGTATCATCTGGAATGTTCTCAGCTTTTTGTAGTGCTGACCTCAGGAAATTTACCAAAGGATAATATGACAACCCAATAAAGACAATAAAGCAGAAAAATAAAAAAGACAAGGACACCAGATTTACATACTTCGATCAATTGACCTACGTCCACGGAAAGAGGAGGATCAAAACTCTACTATAAAAAGGATAATTACAAATGCCTTAGAAAAATGTTCCTAGGCCATAAACTATAAGCCTAAATTATAAGCCTAAACTATTTTAACTAATTGTTGTGGTGCATCTGACTTCAAAGCCTAGGCCCTTATTTATAATTGTAATAGGAGATAACAAACTTGATTTTTCCGATGTGGGACTATGTGGGACTATATCACTATAATAGTAATAAGTATTTATCAAATCATTGGTATCTCTCGGGTCACATTTTGTTTAAATAAGGAAAAGTAAACGTGAAAATTAGGATCGATTTTACATAATGCCAGAGGAAAATTAGGATCGATTTTACGTAATGCCAGAGGAATCATTACCTCATGGCATAGAGGGGGAGGTCATAAGTGTCTATACTATAAAATCGATTTTCGACGGAATGAAAAAGACATATCTGGTAGAATCGTAACCATAGAATACGACCCTAATCGAAATGCATACATTTGTCTCATACACTATGGGATGGTGAGAAGAGATATATTTTACATCCTAGAGGGTTATAATTGGAGATACCATTGTTTCTGGTACAGAAGTTCCTATATCAATGGGAAATGCCCTACCGAGTGTGGTTTGATTTATTGATTTACGTAATTGGAAGTAACCAATTAGGTTTACGACGAAACCTAGAAATCGATCACTGATCCAATTTGAGTACCTCTACGGGATAGACCTCAACAGAAAACTGTTGAGTAACGGCAGCAAGTGATTGAGTTCAGTAGTTCCTCATAGAAAATTATTGACTCTAGAGATATGGTAATATGGAGAAGACAAAATTGTTTGAAGCACGCACATAACATAAGCTACATGAAGAACAATGGTAATTAAGATCCCCCATGGGGAAAAGAGAGATGTCTCCTACGTTACCCGTAATATGTGGAAGTATCGACGTAATTTCATAGAGTCATTCGGTCTGAATGCTACATGAAGAACATAAGCCAGATGACGGAACGGGGAGACCTAGGATGTAGAAGATCACATGAGTGATTCAGCAGATTTGGATTCCTATATATCCACTCATGTGGTACTTCATCATACGATTTATATAAGATCCATCTGTCTAGATATCATCATGTACATCTAGAAAGCTAATGAATATGCTTGTGTAGGAATTGAAGAATTTCGAATATTTAGAAATCAATAACCTAAAAATATATCTATAAAAAAATTAAATCTTTTAATATGTGAGATTAATTATAAAACCTTAAATTATCATCACTCACTTCCTTATAAATTTTCTCATATAAATCCTAAAAAAATTACACCCTTTCTCTCACCCTATAGAGAGTACCTTATCATAGAGAGAGAAATATAAAAGCATCAAAAGTATTTTTTATATTTTATGAGATGTTCATATAAGAACACAATCTTAATTATTAAGATTTTTTTCCTTCACAAGAAATTCCTTGTATTAATTATCCCATTGAGATATTGACGAATCCCAACATTCATGTGATACATAATTGACCACATCAAGCTCAATTCGAACTAATTTCATATGCATTGCACTAATAAAATCATATTAACAAATATTATTTAAGATAATCAGTTATATTAATAACTAATTTTAAAATACTTACAAATCTCAACACTCATGTAGAATAATAACCTAAAGCATGGATACACAATTGACCATATCAAGTTCGATACAAATTAATTTACACTAATAAAATCATATTAACAAATCTAATTTGAACTAAACAAATAAATTAGTGAACATACTATCCAAAATGAAATGATAACATAGAACAACACGGATATCAATTTAAGATAAACAAAGATAATCTCATACCATCATCACTTTCTTTGCTTCTACCCCAAATACATACAAATCCTCACGTAAGCGAACTCACGTTATAAAGGACTACTTAATCAAATAATAATAAGATTAATATCTTAGCAGAAAACCCCAATAAACATGAAAACCCAATAAACAGACTTCACTGACCTTCTTCTGCTCCTCAACAACAGCAGGCGAAGCGTCGGCGGAGGCAGAAGCACCACCGCCGAGGCCGGCAACAGCGGCTGAGACAGAAGCAGCAACACCACCTCCTCCTGTACGCCCAAAATCAGATGGGCAAATAATAAAGTAAAGAGAATCTTTCTATCTAAAGCCGTTCAAGCAAAAGCTGATCCGACGCTCAAGATGAGATCATCGACGTTCTTCTTCTCGACGAGCTTGGCGAAGAAGGGCGGCCAGTAGGAGTCGATCTTCACGTTCTCTGCCTTCGCCAGGGTGGCGATCCTCTCCGCCTGATGGTATATTTTCCAGAAACGGCAAAGAACAACCGCATCTCTTGAAAAGAAACCGCAGTTTCTATTTTCAGAAGAAAACAAATCAAATGCGGAAGAATAAAAAGGGGAAGAGGGAGAACCGTGATGGGGAGGTCTTCGTCATGGAGGATGAGAGCAGCGTATGTGCATGGGAGCTCCCCGATCGACATGGCTGGACGCAGCAAACAAGAAAACACTGACTATCTGCAAATAGAACTCGGAAAAAAAGAAAGGGGAACATCAACCTAGCCGGAGTTGTTCGATGTAATACTAAGAGAATACAACTGCAGAAGCGATCATTACCTGAAGTAAGAAGAAGGATTTGGCCGCAGCGAAGGAGAAGTTCTAAGTTAGGGTTTGCGCTGGGGAGCGTGAGGGAGAAGCCCGGGAGTTTATATATGGAGCACTGCGTGTCTATAAAGCGTGATTCGCGGAATGAAGACGGCGTGGGGGCGTCACGCGATTGGAATGTCACTCGTTGGCCCGAGGGTCCCATACTAGGATCCAATCAGAATGCAGCAGCGCCACGGGTCATCACAAAACAGGTAGAAAATTTCGTTTCCTGTCTCTCCTGTTACGAAACGGGATGCTATATATATATATATATATATATATATATATATATATATATATATATATATATATATATATATATATATATATATATATATATATATATATATATCAAAACCATTCCTCCAATTAATTTATGAAAGAGAATAACAATCACTAATTGATGTCATAACTGATGGGCATATCATTTACATAACAAACCACATTATTATTTACATGAATCAATAAGAATGAAATTGTCATATTTTTCTTTACATTGGGATATACAGTATGCAATATGATACGTGAGGAGCTACAGGCCACCGTCTGAGGAGTTTGTTGTGAGGGCAGATGATCTCCTGAAATAGCGCGGGGTAGGCCTCAGCCAATCTTGACCGTCGATCCAAGACTTGGTAGCAAACGGCTCGGCTTCGAGCGGTGTCAGCCTGTGAGACCACGCAACCCTTCCTGTGACATCTGAGCCACGACCAAAGCAGCTGTACTCCCCGTAGTACGCCGTCCTGCTCGACACCCAAAGTAGTTCTGTGAGAGACATGCAAGCAGACCAATGGCTTCAACCACCGCAGCAGTATGCCAATGTTACCTCTGGTTGCGAGGGTCGTTCCAATCGTTCCAACCTTCAGGTAGCACTGCGTCGGACATGTAGGTGAACGCAAACACCACCCTGGAGTAGGGTCCCCATGGCCGCCCGAGGATTGCAGTTCCAGCTCCGGTGCCGGTGATCTTGCACTGCAAGAAGCTATACCCTGTGCTTTCAGCTGCACTGGACCGGCGTTGCGCCGTGATGGCTCCGCCGCCCGGTGATGTCGAGTGCAAGTGGCATTTCTGGTGGCGAACACATCATCAGAGTCGACTCAGCTGCAGTGACAAGGATCGGATTCTGAGTAAGGACTTACTTCGAAGAGAGCGAGGCCGTTCCCGCAGATGAAGTCGGTGGCGCCTTCGATGTAGCAGTTACTGTAGTAGTGGCGTCCGGTGTCGTCCAGGAGAGTGTCCTGGAAACCGATGATCCTGCAGGAGTAGAATGCTGCTCTGTCCCCAGCAACGTGCAGGGCGATCGCTGGGCCATTTGGACCAAATGTGTTCTGGAAGAGAGTCTCATCCATTACTAATAGCTGCTCGAAAGAAAGAAACACTCTTCTTTCATGCAATGTAAGAGTACCTGAATCGTGAGGTATCTTCCAACGAAATCTGAAGCTAACACTGAAACCGTGGGAGATTCTGATGATGTCCAACCTTCACCCCATGTTATGACTGTGGACATTGCATTTGAGCCGCTCAATGTTATGAAGGGCTTGTCAGCTGGAACAGTCACCTTCTCTCTGTACATACAGTTTGGAACGAGGCAGTGCTGTCAGATGTGGTTTGCATTTTAAATGAACAACCCATGCATCATCTCGTTGTTGCAGAAGAAAGGAGCTTAGAACAGAGCACCTGTAAGTCCCAGGCGTGATCAAAATGAAGACGGGCTCGGCGTTGTTGGAAGGCACAGCATCGATGGCGGCCTGAATGTTTCTGAAATCTCCCTTCCCGGACTGGTCGACTCTGACGAGAATCGCGGAGGATGGATCCGAAGAACCTGCCGCGGCGGCCACCGCGAAGAAGGAAGAAGCAGCCAACAAGGCCAACAGCGCAAGGCGGGTGTCTCTCAAAGTCTCCATGGCTCTTGCAAACGTAGAATTCAGCATGCTAATGGAGGCATACTTAAAGAAGGAGAGCAGTGACAGGAGCCAGCCACTCTCTTGCTCAACAAGCATGGCGGATGTGTGATCTCGAAGCCGTCTGCTGGCGTGTTGTGTGGATGAAACATTCGAACTCGCTGATGTTTGTGTGCGCTAGCAATCAATTGACTTCGTGGGCTAAGATGCATGGATTACGTAGTTGACCAACCTGAAATGAACCATGAGAAGATCGACCATGGAACATTACATGCGCTGCACATCCTAAGCAAGAACTAAAAAGATATGACATGACACGACACCTGTCCTCCGCTGCTGATCTCCTAACCTGGAGTTTACACAAGCGCTATTCTTCCTCCTCAAGCTTAGCTTGTTTGCAGGAACAGAAACAGTAGCTTGACATTATCTGTGATATGCTCGTTGGTTGCCAAGTCTCAAATGGGGGCTGCATTGCTCAACATGCAAGAAAGATTTGGCTCATAATCCACACTGGATGATGGCATGATCTTTGTCAAAGTCAGCTGATGTAACTACAGAAGCAATTTTGCTGGCTTACAATTGTGGTTACACATGTTTCCTAGTCTCCTACTCCCCCACCCATGTTAAGAAACCAATAAAAATATCTGAATCAAGATTTTTGAGTGGAGAGAATCAAGATTTGAGAACAATGATCATACATTGCAGGTGTTATCTTCTTTTGACATATTTATTATTTACAGGGAGAATATTATCGATCAATCATTATTCGACATGTATTCATGTTCAAGCTTGAAGAAGAAGACAGAAAGCTACCTCTTCCGGATCTGTTTACGTGGACATAGGTCTAAGACAGATAATTATGAGTTGTTTTTATCCTTGTCACTTATAACGCTCGAGGCTCACACATATTGAATTACAACTAATATATCAATAAAAGGATAAATAATATGTATATATTACTCTTATTTTATGTTATGATATGTAATGTCTATGCTTTATAAATATGACAAATAACATGTCTATATTTTTTTACTTTTAAGATTAAAGTGTATACTTTACAAAAATATCATTCTTAGTTTTTTACGAAATATTAACTAAGCATGCATAAGTATGAATGTCTATATTAAGTATAGCACAACAAACCAAAGTGTACTAGCAAACCTAAATATGAGGTTAAGTTATAGTAATAAACACATATAATGACTAGAAGTAACGATTGAATTGTGATCGATCTTAAGTGAATTTTAAGGCTTGAATGAGTTTAAACATAATTAAAGAAAGAAAATTTAAGTTTTAAACCATATATAAGATACTTAGAGATGAAGAAAGTAATGAAAAATTAAATGAGGATACAAATAAAAGAGGAATGTTATACTAAATGTTAACATGCTTAAGTGAGATCGAAGAATGAGTTTAGATTAAAAAAATATTATCTTTATCCAAATCCAATTAAACTCAATTAAAATTATTGTAACATTAAAATTATATTAGTAAAAGAAGAAAATAAAAGAAAAGAAGAAAAAAACTTGAAATAAGATCTAATGAGATTGAGCTTTACACCTTAATGCAACCTTTTAAGTACCTCTACTTTAATTTTAGCCTCATCCTCTTTACTCAATTAATAATCCATGATCATTTCTCTCTTTTTTTAATCATTCTCTAAACTTATCTTAGGAAGGCCATGAAGCCCTAGCTCTATGGAAGATTAATGTAAGAAAAACTTAACTATTCCCTTGTTATACTTAGGGTTTTGGTTTTGTAGGCTGATATTTTTAACTACTTTTGAGTAACACAAACATCGAATTTATTTTTTATTTTTGGATATGTTTTGGATAATTCTCTTGTGGTTTTAATATCATTAGTATAACCTTACTCTCTGAGATTGGTGCATAGAGTTGTTATGGTCCCAATTTGAGGTACTTAGAATCTCCTATTTCCTAAGAAGGGATTCTGTTCGAATTGAATTAACCCCTTAGGAATATAATTATGCTTTGGTCTTTAAAAGATTCTATCAAAGTTATGTAAGATTTAAAATTGAGTGAATACCATATTTGTAAACCAAGATATGATGTTTATAAGTTTAGACAATCTCAATCTAGTTTCATAGAACAAAATAGGTGTTGGTAGTTGAAGTAGGAGGGTAGTTTAGCCTCCAAATAATTCAGTTTTATGTTAAATTTTGATATGTTTTTAGTTTTATATGTCTCCTAGTCTTCTACAAAAGTTCATGATAATTCAAAATCATTTAGTTAGCTTGAATAGTGAATTAAAACTTCTTCACATAATTGTGTAATGTTTATGGAGTGAATTGTTAGAAAATTTGTAGTGAAATTTAAATGAACTTTTAGGTTAAGTATAGTCTATTTTATAAGAGATTTTATCAAAAAAAATTTATAAATTATTACTATAAATTAATAATTCAAGAGGTAGGGTTCTTAATTAAGATATCTCATGATAATTATAAATCAATAATTTTAGCACTTCCTCGCACACTCAATCATTAAGGAACATGATCTTTTTTTGACATCATCATTTTTTTAGTTTAATCAGGTAAGTATAAATTTAATTCACTGTAAAATAATTGTCGTATAAATTATCATATGCATAATATATTTTAAAAAGTATGTTTCGAATGATATGATTGTCATCAGCTAAGAATGGGCTAAATATAAATATATATTTTTTGTAAGGATAAAAATCTATGAATTACGATAAAAATATATTTTATACATGCATATACGATGATATGTGATGTGTGATTGCACGTGTTTTCTATGACGTGTGTTGTGAGATTTCATGTATTATGAGAGTGCATGTATATATTATGATATGCAATGTGAGAGTACACATATATATTACGATGACGTGTGATATGAAAGTACATATATATGTTATGATATAAGACGTAGAATTTCACGAATTTGCTATGTTTTCTACCTGAGCATATAAACATTCTGAATTATTTTATCATAAAATTTTATCTCTTTATTTTACATATACTATGTTGTAGGATTATACTTGCTAAAAAAATATATGATGAGGTGCTTATTGTTAATTGTTATATGACGATGATTTTAAAATATGATATACATGATATGATACATGCTCACTTGAATAAAGCTATAAAAGATTATACTTACTAAGTGATTACTCACTATAGACCATATTTTGCATGTAAAGATATTAATACCTGACCCAAGTGATTGTGTAGGGAAGTACGCACGTGAAAGCCTATACTAATACAGATATGGATGATGACCACTGAACATTTTATGTATAAATTTTGAACATGTTATGTTTGGATTTTTTTTAATTTTTTTTTACATGTTATAATTATGTACAAGTGCCAAAAACACTATATATAAGGGAAATCCTACCATTTTGTCTAGTGAGTTAGCATGTTTTAATTTAATAGTAGTAATATATATGGGAAACACTATATACAAGTGCATTCCTATCGATAGATAGTAGTAATGAAAATTAAAATATGACATCCTACTTTAGTCTAGGGTACGAGTGAAATAAGAGTACTACGATATTACATCGCCAACATAGAAAAGAGGCTATATTGATATTGTTAAAGGTCATTAAAAGCTATCTCTAAAGAATATTACACATAATATACCGTTTCTTTACTATTATGTATAAAAGCTCATTTTTAACATATCAAAAGCTATCTAGGGACCGACTTAGAAAACCTCTCCTGACCTCAATCTTTATACATGTGGGACCTCGAATGATCTCCTCAAAAACTCGATGTTTCTACCTCAAAAGCACCTTGAACAATCCTACGCAAATGGGTCTGAATCACATCGAGCTGACTCAAACAATAACAATATTTTTCTCATAACATTTTTGACACTAGAAAAAGAGTCTAATGTCATAAGAATGCTCGTCCATCAATCTTCTCAATCAACGCTAAAGCGAAGAGAATTTGCCCCTAACCCATAGTACTTTCACCCTAGGGTGGCAACAACCACTCTTTCCGTACATTGGTACATCCACCTCAACACAGACTCCAATGTGATACTAGCGCTTGTTCAATGACCAAGATCTCTCACCCCTGTAATGACCTTGGGCCACCTCCTCATCCCCATCGAGGTATTTTTAAACCTTACTCAGCAAATATAAATGCTAACATGCATGATACAAACCATCATACTACTTTTGCCCTAATTGGTCCAATAAACGATGTCACTAACTTAATCACAATCCCCAACTCCATAGCCATTGGTAGCACCGATCAAGATTCCCTAACTCGACAAGGTGTCGACATCTCAAGACCGCTTCAGGCCTATCAAAACAATAGTCAAGGGGGTACTTTGGTCCTCATTCTACCTTGCATAAATTTAAGACTCAATTAATGAACTCAACTTAAGATTTTATATGAATCCAACTACAACAAATGGACCAACATTTGGAGGAGATACAATGAGAATTCTAATAATCAAAATGAGATACACTGATCACCCCCACCTTGGTCAATCACTATTTACTCAAAATATTCAAGAGGAACTAATTTCAATAAGCTTCAATCTCCCATCGTTGAAAGTATTCGATGATAGCACCAACTTGATGAAACACATTACAATATTTCTCACATTATAATATTTTACGCTCATATATAATTATGTCCTAAGATATCATGCCTTCCCAACCATATTAAGAGGCCTAACATTCTTGAATGATACGCTCACTTAAAATCAATTTCCATCTACTTTTTCATCCAGTTGGTGATAAAGTTCGTTTTCTCGAGAATGTATGCCATTAGCCTTTAGTGACAATACTCATCTGACTCAAACAAAGGGAAGAAAAAAAACGCTCGAAGACTTTGCCACTTGATTCACAAATGAGAGAGCTCGCCCTCGTCCGAGATGTCATCCTTTATTCTAATTTTATTTAAAAATCCTTAAATGATTTTTATAGATAATTAAGAATTTGTCATCCTTTATTCTAAAATAAAGAATGACAAGTTCTTCCTGTTTATATGTAACCTGAAATTAAAAACTCATAATTTTAAAAAAATTATAATCTTAATTTTATTTATTAGAAAAAAAAAAAATGAATGTCAAGCTGGTTAATTCTTTTATGGGGCACAAAAGATGCAGAAACCCAGACAACGATCTCAGCACCAAAACTCCCCGTCATCAACGAAAATAATGCGACGATCAGATCTTTTGCCCAAATGTTGGCAACGAAAAGAGAAATAAAGAAATACTAAGAAACTAATTCTTGTACCGCATAAAACCAAAACAGAGCATCCATAGACCAAAGAAGAACGATTAAGAAAACATATCTGGGGTGGGATGAGAGAAGACAATTGACGGGTGAAGAGGAGAGGAGGTGCTCAGAGATCTGAATTTGAATGGATTCAATGCTGTCCTCACGAAGAAAAGAGGTCAGATTAACGAGAAACCATCATCGCACCCTCCTCCTCTTCGCCTACTGCTAATTCATACGAGAAAAGACAAACACACACGGCGATGGAGATTTCCCCTTCGCTCCGGCCTCCGGAAACCCTAGAGGAAGATCCCCCTTTCGCCCACCGAGAGAACCCTAGCCGAGCCACTATCGACGCGGATTAGCAACCCTTTTATAGGGTATTTGGCAGGCTACTGGGCCCGGTAACCCGTTAGCCGATGAACCCGGACCCGATACTTCCAGCCCAGCTCAGCCCGCGAGATCCATACACCCATCAACGGCCCGATGTAGGCCATGCAGGTGTGCAGCACGCATCATGTCGCAATTCTCAGGGCAAGTGGGGGCCGTGATTGGAGTCGTGAATTGCTGACATGGACACCAACGTATCGACCCAAGCACATCTACGTGGAAGCCGAGTCGTCCATCAGAGAATTCCTATATTTGGACCGTGGAATAATTGCTTTATGTTGACGGGACCGAGAGATGAATACTTGGCTCTTTCCCGCTCGTCCGTCGCTGGTTTGCATGGGATGCATCAGCATGCACTGGAACAATCCCTTTTCCTGCTGAACATGGAGTGAGCTGAATCCTGGAGCCACCTGATGTCTGTACGAGTACATATTCCAGTCCGATGACTTCCGTGGAATCAGGCAAGTTGCTTCCAGCAGGAGGAATCTGTGTCTCTCGGACCACTTTCTGGAAGCACTGATGCGATGCAAAGCTGGGCTGCAGTCTCAATCTTCCCACAGTTCCAGCTGAACTTTGAGAATCTTTTCTCCTCCGGGGTCGGAGGAGGAGCACAACACAGTTGGTGAAGATGAAAGAAGATCAAAACCATTGCCACAAAGTGGGTTGCTGTTGAATCATCCTCTTGACAGTGTCATACAGCCAAGGATCAAAGCGCCAACTTGCAGAGGAAAGGATCAGCATCGCCCTCAATTTAAAAGATTGAGGTTCTCCGGATTGCAACTTGCTGGAATCACCAAAGGTGGCATCTGCCAAAAGTTGAGCTGATATTTCAACCCCCAAAGCCTACTAGTTTTCTATCAGATGATGGAAATGGCGTTCGATCACCTTTGACCACCATATTTGTTGCTTGATTGGTGCAGCATTCTAATCACAAAAAAGGTATAGGCGAGGGTTCAGCCATAAGCATGAATTATATTGCATGACAAAGGAAGAGAGAAGATTTGGCAGGCAAAGGGGTGAGAGAAAATTTACAAGGGTGATTCCTTCTCCCAACCCACCAATTCACAAATCCCTTTCTATTGGTCATCTAGAAGTCTTTGTTCTCCACCACAGAACAACCCCCACTGCCTCGGCTCTCCTGCCTATAAGGAGCACCGCCTGGCTGCTTCCTCTTCGTATCAGCAGCCCACACCGAGCTCGTCAGCTTCTCTCACCCACATCAGAGCTTCGAGATGGCAACCAGCTCGGGGAGCTCGTGCTGGACCGCGAAGCAGAACAAGATGTTCGAGAAAGCCCTCGCGGTGTACGACAAGGACACGCCCGACCGCTGGCACAACGTGGCGCGCGCCGTCGGCGGCAAGTCAGCGGAAGAAGTGAAGCGGCACTACGAGCTGCTGGTGGCGGACATTATCCTCATCGAGAAGGGCCAGATGCCTCGAGCCAATTACCGCTCCTCCGGCCACAGGGGTACTCCCTTCGCCTCTGCCTCTTTGTCCAAAAATTTGATGGACATGATCAAGCAAACTCGAACTGTACCATCTGAACATTTCTTTTTCTTTGTAGCAGGATGAAGTGTCGACTGGATCAAAAGTGTAGAAACGGGCAGCAGTCTACTCTGGATGATCAATTACAAGAAACAGATACATACATATATGTGATGAAGTATCAGACATCCCTGCTCTAAGTAGTGTTCTGTTCTCTTGTCCCCCCTTCGATTCTATGTTGTATTTAAAATGCAGGCAGCCAAGAAGACATGTCCTGTTCTCTGTAAATTTACCTACTGGAAGCACAATATAATCCTGTTTGGCAACAATGCATATCTGTGTTTTCTCCTCTTCAATTCAAAAGATTAAGTTGATCAAACGAGATTAATACAGAGTTTTGAGGGCCATTTGAATGGTATTAAGAACAGCTGAAAATTTTATAACACAATATCATGTTCTTTTGGCACACTGTCGTCTAAATCACATACTAATGAATAAAAATGAAACATAATGATAATGTTAATAATGAAATGAAATATGGTGTTATGATGATTATTTGCTTATCTATTTAAACAAAAAGTATATAAGCAGTCTATGCTATCTATTTAAGTGGAGCAGAGTCTCCATCCAGCCTCTTGAAGTTGTCTTCTCTTCTTATGCACTGCTGTGTAATTTCTTTCGGAGGAATGAAGTGACAATATAGATCTAAAATTCTACAGAAATCTAAATCAGACATAAACCTTTTCAGAGGAATGGAAGGATCAATTTGCAGCATCAAGTCTTGTTCAGCTCCTCTTTTTTCATTTAGATGGTCCAACTCATTCCTGAACCTTTTCAAGAGTTGTGTGGCCTTCACAGACATGATGTGTGAGGCTTACATCCACACCTCAAAGCCAGAGATCATAGCAGTGTCCCCTTGTGGTTTGGCCCTACATGAATGAACACAAGCAGATGATCTCAGTCCATGAGGTGGCAGGAGGTAGTCCTTTGAAGAGAACATCTGATACTCTCAAGTGGAGTTCCATAAAGAATTTTGTCTCTCCAAAGAATTATGCTCCCAGGGTGCCATAATCATCATATCATGGCCAACAAGCCTCACTCACAGTCAATAAAAGAAGAACATAGCATTACTATCCCAACCTCACAAGTGAGCCACCATCTGGGGAATTAATTATTTGGGACCTATACTTGAGCATCAATACTACAATAATTTTAATCCAGAACCTCTCTAGTTGTATCCCAAAGACAATTAATCAGAATATTATATTATTTTTCCTCGTTTTGTTTCTATAAGTTGTTTATATTAGATAGATAATAATTAACACATGTGATCCAAAGTGAGTTCAGTCTCTGAACAATAGGCAGGGAACAAAAAAAGGGCACAAACCTTTTCACATCTACAAAGAACACAAGTTTTCTTTAGAAGAATCTCTGGCTGATACATGTCTCACTGTTACAGTAAAGCTCTGAAACTGATGGGAACAGTAGACTCTGGTACTTGTGTACATTGCTTGAGGTCCTTTAGTACAATACTCATGCATCTTTGGAACTCTTTGCTGGTCCCTCTCTTCCACATGATTCCCTGCAACTTTACATACAGCCATGGAATCTTCAGTGGTGCAAGTAGGCAAAAGCAAGCAGCAATTTGCAGAAGCTTGATCCAACAGGTCCCGAAGAGGTGAGGAAGATTCTTTCCGCCCCAACTTGCAGGTACCTGTCATTGCGAGGATTCCAAGAGAAACTAGCCTTGGTTAAAGATGAACACCTCCATGCATGGAATCAGCTCTGAGACGGCCTACAAGAAGCAAGTGCTCCAGTTTCAACCAAGGGTTGAATCTTAGTAAGTAGCGTGATGTGACATTGTTGTCTCTCTCCCTTCGTGTATCTGTTCTTCCTCATGTGGGATCGTTGGCTTTCTAACTCTTTGATCCCTTTACCCGGGATCATCTACCATTCCATGAGATCTCTTATACGTCAACTTTCAGATTCGCCCTGCTTATATGCCAATCTTGTTTCTCAATCTATACTCGTCAAATCCAATATATTCCCCCCCCCATGTGTGCGCCGATACCTCCCTGTATCTTTCCACAGAATCTACTCTCCAGGATCTTTTCTTCTCTCTCTCTCTCTCTCTCTCTGCCTTATAATTTGACTGCAAATAATCATCAGGGAAGCATGAATTAATGGCTGTATACGACCTATCAATATCCTTTCAACCCAATAACACTTGAATTCTTTGGCACTCTTCTATCACTCAGCATCTTTCCTCGTCGTGAACTACTGAAATGCTAATACGAAAACTCAAACGTTGTCAGAACCGCGAGGGCATGCAAGTGTTGTGAGATCAAGAATACCGAGGAAGAGAGTATTGGAGTACTTGAGATAAAAGTTGGGAGGGAGAAATGGCGATTCCTTCCACTTCCCCACATAGATCTTATTGTTCTTTGGCCTCATTGTGGCTCCAAGAGGGCACCAGTACTCATCTCATATTCTGCCATCCTTCCTTCCTCCTTTAGTCCTTTTGGAAATGCTATTCTCCTGCTAGTTAGCTCCAACGAAGCACTACCCCACAACTCCCACTTCCCTCCTGTTTATAAGGAGCGCCAACCCACGGAAGAAGCCAACGCAGGAGTTCGTAGAGCTTAATTAGCGTCTGCTGCCAATTAGACTCCCCTCCATCTCATTCCATATATAGCCGAGATGGCGTCCGGCTCCAAGAGCAGCTCGCGCAAGCTCCAGGACTCGTGGACCAAGGAGGAGAACAAGCGCTTCGAGATGGCGCTCGCCCACTTCGACCTCGACACCCCGGATCGCTGGGTGCACGTCGCCAGGGCCGTCGGCAACAAGTCCGTCGAAGAAGTGCAACGCCACTACGAGCACCTCCTCAAGGACATCGAGCTCATCGACTCCACCCAGGAGCCATTCTACAGTTACCCGACCACCAATGACAGGCGCCGCAACGGCACCAGCGACCAGCAGAAGAGGTGGTTGCTTCTTCGGTACTCCAAGCTTTCATCTTATTTCTTCTTCATCTCTGGAACACCCCCACCTTTCCGTCGTCGTCCTCAGTCTTTGCCTTTCTGAAGAATGAGACCCGCGGAGCAGCATTCCACAGCATCTCTTAGCTTTCCACAATCTTTAGGGGTCACAGTCACATGCAGCACTTCATTCTTTCATATATTCTTATTGTCTTGGCTAACTTATCTCATGGATTGCTCTGTCTCTTCCTTGTCTGCTGCATGCCAAAGCTTCAAATCAAGTTGTGGGTTAAATTAATGGTTCTTGATGAGTGAAAACTATTCTGATCTCATGGCTCTTTCCATTTTTGTCTTGTTTGGCAGGCTAAGGTTCCTAAAGCTCCAGTGAAGCAGAATCTGGGGAGCGTACAGTAGCAATCTTATGATGCGATGTTATGATGGACAGCCATACGTATAGTCTTATGTGTCAGGTTATGTATCAAGAAGCATCAAGTGTGGAAGCCATGAAGAATCAGACAACACTGATGTTGTAGTGGTAGCTGTGTTACAACATATGATGTATGTGACCGTATCACAGACTATGTATGCTGTATGTAATTTGCTAAATATTGCTGGTACTTTAATTAGCATCTGTGTTGCCTTATGAAAGTATTTATGATATGTTTCTTCCTGAGTCATCGATGTTCTAAGCGTTGGCCTATGAGACAATATATTTTGGCTTAAGTTTGCTATGTTATTGATGGTATGTTTTGGGTTGAGCCTCAATTAAACAGTATATGACTCTACCATTTGAGTGATCTATGCAGAAACCTATTTAGTTTACCTTTTACTTAAATAAATTTAATTATTTTAGAGATATTTTATGTAAGTATCTCAATTTCAACTTAGGAAGAGAAAAAGGAAGTAATTACATAAAATAAAGAAATTATATTTGATTTTGATTAAAAATAATAAATTTTGATTGAAGATAATAAATAATCTTGCCGAGTTGTGAGACAAATATTCTGGGAGTGTTCTACTTGGACCAAAGCGACCATGGCATTTATTCCATTATATTTTTATTATCATTTTCTTTCTGGAATCACTCTTTCTTATTTCAAAAAAGAAAATTAAATTTACTTATCTGTGCCTTTTGAAGTATTGAAATTACATATTAATTCTTACAAATTTAACGTAGCATATATGTCCCTCCGAATTCAAGATTATTCATGCATATACTCCCGTCCACTTCCATTCAAAAAACCTATACTAAATATTCTTAGATGTGGTTTATATTTACCACAGTTAAATTATTTATCATACCTAAAATTTATTAAAAGAAATCTTACTAGTATCATAGGAGCTTTTTAAAGGATAATAATATCGATTAGAGTTTCAATTAAGAGAAAACAATATTCATATAATATAAAATAATTGCATGAACACATATGTATCTTTTTAGGTTCAAATGGGAGTATATATATGTATATATATTATATATGCTTAAATCAAATTTAGTAAAAGAAAATCACTATAGGCGAGCATATATTTCATGCTTCAAGAGAGAGGATTGCATACATTTAACCATCACATTTGTTGCACTCAGCTCAGCCCACAAGCCACACTTCAGCCCATGCAGTGATGTCTAAGGCAATATAATTTAGATGTCAGTTTCTCTTCAAAGATGAGACTCACTACATCAATTAGCATTGTCATCTCATATGGTGGACAAATATGATGTTCCATGCAGAGCTAAGGAAAATACTCGTACATGTACATGAGTGCGAGTATAACAATCCTAGGAGGAGACTTCCAGGTTCTATACTAATAAAGACGACCGATGAAGATCCATAGTTTGCCCGGTTTGGTGTCAAAGGTTGATTAGAAGTTTGTTTAGTATTATTAGGAGTTCTAATAAAATTAGTGTATGTTCTATGTGAATTATTTAGGTGAACCACCTTCCCATATTATATGAATATTAGCTTTTGGGAATTCCGATCTGGTTGATATGCCTTCGGGTGTTCGAAGTGAGCTCGATCTGTACTAAGACGGATGTCGGATGAGGTTCTCAATATGATCTTTTTTAACGCTCGATTAATGATCAATGATTTTTGTCCTCTTCTACTAAATAAAGTGCGGATTAGAGATGAATATTTTTCCTATAACCAACGTATACATGATTGCTTAATAGGTTCAAATTGCAAGAAACGTACAACTTATATACCCAATGGTCACAAGAAAATAATTTATCGTCAGCAACACAAATGCCTTCGTCCCTGAATTTGACACCGAAGGTTAAGCAAAGAAGCTCTCTGTTTGATGCTGAATTGATACTCTAGAAAAGAAACCAGTATGTTTTACCTATACATAAGATTTCAGCCATGAGTAAGAACCACGAAGAACACAAAAAAGTGGAACAATATGCAGAATAGCATAAAGAAAGGCCTATTCTTAGAACTCCATTTGATACATTGTGAAAGAAAATTCAATGTTCCTTATAATAAAACTGTTCCTCTCAATCATCCATAAAGATAGAATGGGTTGAATGGTTCAATGAATGCGCTCATGACAAAGGTCTCAGCATCCCAACACCATGAACATGTAGAAGGGAGAAATAGGACGCAACTGACATATCCTTGCTTTAATTTCTGATCTTATCCCAATGCTATCATCGGTGGAATCAACTTCAAGAAAAAGACAAGATGTCCAGCAAAAGTGAAACTGCCAATGTGGCCTCATCCATGCATCTTTAGTGCAACAGAAACGAGGACGGGCATGATGCAAAACTCGACACAGAAACAAGAGAAAACGACATGGATGGATCTGCAAGATTAGGAGAGAGAGAGAGAGAGAGAGAGAGAGCCGTAGCAAGCAGGTGATCATGTTGTACACGAGAGTGATACCTGTTCGGTGCCGACATTAGGGTCCGAGTGTGATGCTGTGAGATGACAACAACATAGTCGTCGATCATTCATGCCATGCACTTGTGAACTCTTCTTCCTGTGCGCAGGAAATGTTGAAACGTGGAGTTGATGGAGGAAGAAATTTCCACAAGTTCTTTGACCGCATCAGCTTCTCCTCCGCCCAAACCACAAACAAGAAAAGCAAAGGAACGGTTCCAAAGCTCTCATATGGTCGATCAACCCTTTTGCTATACCAACCTCATGGTGAATGAATGAGGAAATGGGCGGGCTTATGATCACACCGAGAACTAAGTAGCGATACATCTAAGCAAGTTAAGTTGATGACAACAGTAATGCAGATGCAAACCAAGAATTCGAACGCAGATGTTTCAGTACCCTGCCTCCGCCTACGATCTCATGGCCATCACATCTGCTGCTGCGATTGTTGCGACGAGGAGTGCGGCTGGTGTTGCTGCGGCAGTACTACTTCATCCTGCCCCGGTGGTTGCTGTGGCTTCCTGATCAAGTGCTTGTTGTTGTGCATCCAGACCTTCAAGACTTGCCTCCTCACCCCAGTCTCGGCGCAGAATTGCTCCACCAATCCCTCGTCTTGCTTCTGAATCCTCCATCCCATCCTTTCCGCGAAAGCCAGCATCTTCTCCTTCTGCTCCATAGTGAACTTGGTCCGGAACCGCTTCCTCGGCGTGGTCGCCGGGGTCGGCGCCCCGGCAGTCATCCGTTCCTCGCTCGAAGACTCCGTCGTCCCTCCGCTCCCGCTGGCGTTGCCACCGAACGCCACGATGCCGGAGGACGGGGTGGTGGGAGTACCGAATTGGAATTGCTTCTGGTAGTGGTTATGGTGCTGGGATTGGGGATGGGGGGGAGGAGGGAGGAGGAGAGGAACACGGGCGGCGCCGCGGTAGTAGGAGTCGGCGGCGGCGGCGTCGCCTTCGGCCTCCTTCCGATGGAAACTGCGGTGGCAGCCGCAGGCCGCGCACTTCAGCGCCTCCGGCGAGGACGGGTCGCCCTCCGGCATGAATTCGCCGCAGCCATCGAGAACGTGGCCACCGATGGAAGCCGCGTGGTTGCGGAGGCATTCTCGGTACCTGATAGAAGCTGATGCAGCGGCCTTGGTGTTACTCGGCGCAGTTGCACCGCTGACCGGAGCTGGATCTGTGTTCCTTGCAGCAGACTGATACAAAACATCCACCGCTGCAGCTGTTGATGACGGTGTGGTGCTTCCAAAGAGGCTAACATTCTCCGCAGTTGATGTGCCACTTCCATTTCCTCCTCCTCCTCTTAGGGAGATTAAAGAGGAAGAAGGAGAGAGTACAGGTTTGGAGAAAGCAGATCCTCTAATGGGAGGACGAGCGTTGAAACTCAAAGCTGTGGATGAACGCATCTCATCATCATCATCATCATCATCATCAACAACAATTTGGTCTTTATATTCCATGAATCGAACTCTTCCTCTCTAGATTTCGTCTTCAACAGAGAAAGCAAAGCTAATGGAGCCGATCAGTAGAAGAAATCTTCGAGAGAAGCGACAACACTGTTCAAGCTCTTATTGCACTGGGAGCACGGATGAGGTGAGAGGGACAGGACGAGAAAGTGCTGCACCAAGAGACGCAGACACCGGAGGTGTAATAATAATGAGAGAGTCATTTAGAAGGGAGTGGCCTTGGGATTTGGTGTCCTGCCATCCACTTCTGAGGTGGAAAGAGACGACGATTAGTTCCACACTTCTCCCCTAATCTCAACCATTAAACTCAGCTCCTCCTCCTTCAACCACATCAATTCTAGGAAATGGCTACAACATGACACTCCATGTGTCGTTCATCGCTTCCAAGTCAAAACCAGCTGCCAAAGAAATCAAGACACATGATGAATCATTTAAGACATGTCTCCATGTGATCTTCACCGGAATCTACATGATTGAGTTATGATGAGTGCAGGCTATCATTTTTCACACGGCTACATTAAGATCGGGTTGGCCACTTGATGTTGCTATCAATTGCTTGCAAAGTACTCGACGTGTCAGACGCACAAGTATAATATTGTGCAGGTCTTTCCTGTTAGGGCATGTAAATGTCTCATTCTATCTGGATTAACCTCAAGTGATTTGGATGTTTGTTTGGATGAAGACATAATGAGAGAGAGAGAGCGAGCGAGAGAGCATATAATAACGTGGGAATCAATTTGTCGACAGGAGCAGCAGGAGACAACCAAAAGGTTGACTAGTACACAACTTGCCATTGATTGGCGGACCACGTGGCCCCCATGCGCGGGGGCCCTTCCTGTGTCAGGATTCTGGAAACGTGGTGCAGCCCCAGCCACCGGTAGTGGTGTTTTTTTTGTCTTGTCGGAACTCGTGCCCATGAGCCGTCAACACTCGCTCTCCCCTGCCATTCCACTGGCTCTTCATGATCGATGAATGCTTGTGATTCCTTAGATGCCTGTGTCTCAGATATATGTGTATATATGCACACACATATTGGTCTAGTGCGACTCTTGGAAGGTGATGAAAGGTAACATGTCACGTTTGCTAGCTGGAAACCACGCCTTGGGTGGAATCCAATGGATGGAAAAGGTCTCTTGTCTTGAATGCTGACCTGTTGCTTCCACGAAGAGTATGTGTGAGGCGTGGATGTTTGGTGACGCTGTTTCTTCCATAGGCGAATTGAAGAGGCAATTATGAAAGATATCATATAACAACTTTATAATGTGGCCAATATAATTAATGGCATGCCCGATAAGATGTATGGGCCATCTTCTCCTTACAGAGAACCAAATATTTGCAGTGTCACGAAGAATACCAGATTTGGGCTGTGTACTGATCGGCCCGATCCAAATCTGGATCCAAATCAAACATTAGGTTCACATCTACTGGGTCCGACTTGACCTTATACTTACGCTTCTCCTGATTCCCTAGGGTCATGGGTGGGGCCAGACCAGGCTGCTCCAGTTTGACCTCTAAACCCGTCGTGTTAATCTATTAAAACATGCTCGAAGTTGTCAACGTCCAAGTGTTCGACGGAAGGCCGCTGTTGATTCGGCAGCAGGCCAGCGAGTCATCACCACTGGATGGTAAAGAAGTACTTACTACTCATGGCATGCAACGATATTTAACGTCGATCGGCGACGGAAGCCTTGGCTGTGGCCGGGAGATGGCGAGGAGCAAACGGCAGTCCCTTTGTCTTTGAAGTGTTATCGAGTCCGGTTGGTAATGCCAAGCTTAAAAGACTACATGGTTTTCTTACTTGTATTCGCCGATCACCTGGATATGATTGCGTGTGATGCGAGTGGACCTGAACGAATAAGCTTTTGAAAAGTAATTACCATTATCTTTGAGATAAGGATAATTCGTGACCACGTTCTTTAGAGGGGATGAGAGAGAAAGAAGAGGAGGGAGAAGAATATGGAGTGTGTAGTACGCTAGTAACACCAACACAAGCCAGAAAACTCCCGGTCCGAACTGAGATGATGCATGCTTTGAACTGTTAAAAAGCAACCAATGAATGCCCGGAAGTACGTCTCGTACGGTAACTCTTGATTGGATTCTGCTGTTATCCCATCATATCAGGCTTTCTGTTGGCCTTCTCTCATGTCCACCGGTCACTGGCCGCTGCCACCTGCAGATGCCCTGTTCATGTCATCCCCTCGATTCCTCCCCCCCCCTTCCGCCAACGACACCGTCATCAGCAGAATCTATCTATTCATCCGTCTAACACACACACACACACATGTTGACTCTTAAACCACAATAAGAACACCCATCATTTGATTCGTTACCTAACGAAGAGACTTATCATCTCTACTACTTGAGGCTACAGAGTATACATGAAGAGGTTGATCAAAGAAGGCCACGAACAGGACTGGTTTTGATGCTGAGTTGCTACTGGAATTCGGAACTACTAATTGTATTGGAATAGGCTGGGGCGGTCTCGAACCGGGAACTGGGTCGGCGGCACCAGGTTTAGCCGCCAGGAGAGATAAGGCACGTCGCCCTCGTCCGCCGTGTCGTCATGCACCGAGATGGAAGGGCCGCTCTTCGTCGCCGTTGGAGCGTAGCATCCCCAGGGTGACTGCTGCGGCTGCTGCTGTCGTATGTATCCGTATCCGATCGTCTGCTCGGCAGCCGCCGTTACCACCGATGTCGACGAGGACGGCGATGCCGCCGCCCGCCTCTCTTCCTTCTTGTAACGGATGCCGCACGCGTTACACAGTGACTGCATTGCTGTAACATATTAGATTGCTTGAGACGGAGATACAAGTTTAAGGCGAAGCTAGTCACTACCTTTGGGCCTCTGGGACCGTTCCTCCACAAGGGAGTGGAGGTGGTGTCGCAGTTGGCGCACCTGCGGGCTAGTAGATGCGGGTCTCCGGCCATGTTCGAGCCGATGGTGTTTCCACCACCAGAAGCAATGCTTCCACCTGTTCCCATGGACGCGTGCTTCTTGGGATGAGATAGGCTATCCCAGCGAAAGCTGGACATGCACGAGGGTGGCTGGATATGTGCAGTAGGTGAGGGCAAGGTTTTGTGTTCAGTCAGGCGCGTCGATGGGGTGCCGAGAGACAAGGTGCAGTCCACCGACGAGGAAGCGTCGGACTTACTGCCATCGAAGGCATCATCATCAGTAAACTTGCTACCGGACGCCGGGAAGAAAATGGAGAACGAGGCGGCGCCACCGCAGAGCAACCCACACGAGCACTGCTGCGTGCTGCTCTGGTGGCCGCACTGGTGCAACATGGCTGTAGTCCTAATCGAAAGGCTGCAACAGAGAGGAAGCAAGAGCTAAAAGACTGGGAGAAGAGGGAGAGAGGGAGACGCGGTTGAGCTCATATAAAATGGGAGGGCAGCAGCACGTACTACTACTACTACTACTACTACTACTTCTGTGGGGATGACACGCATCGGGATGGAGGAGGGAGGAGGAGGAGGAGGTGGTGGTCGTCCAACAACTACGAACTACATAGTGGTTTACACGAATGTAGCGAGTGTTTTTATATGTGCAGCCGAGGTAGCAGACAAGGATTAATGAAGCATATTAATGATGCTTTGTGGCAATAATAGCGTGTGGGAACTTGGGAAGTGGGGGATCGGGGCTTGTCGGTTCTTAAGCAAAGAGGATAGAGTAAGCAAGCTTAAACGACACATGAAAAGTGGAATATGACTGACTACCAAATGTGTAGCTGCTAATCTATGGAAGGGCTCATCGGGGGTTGGAGAAGACTAGTCAGCTGCAGTACGATAGTGTTTATGTGGTGCAGTGGGGAGGGCTCCACTTATCCACCGAGTCAGTCGAATCAGATGAGTTCACCCCTATTCGCAGTTTGGGTTTCGTGTGCTATCTCCATCATACACCACAGACAGTCGCTCTCTCTCCTCGCTGGGGGACTTCAGCTTCCACCTAACAATCTCTCAGCCTGTCCTCGGTATAGGGGGAGCGGCCAGCATCACCAAGTCGGAGTTGTGGCGGTTTCCTCTGCACTGCTTCTTATACAACAATGACGTATGACTGGTTCGGGGCTGTACATCACAACAAGACGATGGATCATGACACAGCGCGTTAAGGGACTGCAGTGAGAGAGAGAGAGTGAGAGGGAGTTTTTGGAGGCGCAGCAAACAATGCGGGTCAGAGGGGACAGACGGGGTTGGTCATTGGGCGGTCAAAAGTGGCCACGTGACTCCGGGAACAGTCTTCCACATAACATTTCTCTATACCCTTACGCCTCCTCGCCGATCACGAGACCGCGCGCCACCCCGCCAGCGACGACGACGGATGGTGGGTGTGCATCGAAGCAGAGGAGCAGCAGAGACGCAACACTGAGCCAGACACGAGCGCAGACCAACTCCACTTCAGAAAACGTTTGCTTGTGGACGACACTCTCGAACGGCACAGGAGCCATTTTTAGCTCACGTCACCATCTCCATATGTCGCCAACCGCTGCCACAAACCACGGAGACTCTACGTAGGAGACGACGACGTATCCGGGAAGAGGTGATGGAGTCGACATAGGAAGCGTATCCCAAAAGCGAGAACGGTGTGTTGTATAAAGAGGGAGAAAGTAAAAGACAGGAAAAGATAAAGAGAAACAAATGGGAAGGACGAGAGAATATAGCCATGGCTGCTGGCTGCTGGCTTCTGCATAGGGAGGGAAACACCGGCAGCAGCTCGGCTTAATCGGCCCCCCTCATCATTACCGTCGCCTCAAAAGGGGGGTCAACTTCTTGAACACATCCCCTCGTTGGACGCCACGGTTATACATTACAGTGAAAGTTGCACCGCCGCGTAGCTAATCATCGCCGGCTACAGCTTGCTCGCTTTGCATTGTACGATCTCCCAAGTGAATCGGAGATCAAAGATAAGATTAAACAGAACCAACAGTGAGAGCACGTACTGCATCCATGGCTTACGGGAGCTGCCACTTGCCGGCCAACTGCAGGTTATCATGCAGGAAAGTGAGACACCGGAACGATGATAGTATACGTACAGCTTACTCCTGTGTACAAGTGGCGTAGGTGATCCAAGTTCATGTTCAAAGAGGGTTTCCGAGACACGACCACAAGTCTAGAGATCGCTGTCTAGGTTTAGATTACTTATGTGTGTAGAGAGAGAGAGCGAGAGAGAGAGAGAGAGAGGCATCTTTTGGAAAGCGGTAGTCTCCAAAACCGATCAGTTCTGTGTGTCGTGCTGCCCATAAAATCCAATGGTGGCGAACTACGAGCGAGCGGCGTCCCCGAAAAAGAGAGAGAGAGGGGGAAGAATGAGAAAGAAAGAGAGAACAGGCAGGAGGGATTCAAATGCTCCTACGATGGGCGTCTCGCCTTGAGAACTGAGATATCTCTCCTCCCTTTCTTGACCAGAAGCGGAGCAGCCTTATGTCTGCGTCCATGAACACCAGACGAAGCCATCATCGTCCACGACGGGTGACACGAACCTATTCACAAGCGCCAGAGCCCGGTCAACAGCAGACGGAGCGGCTA